TCAATAATTAACAGACAAGATACAGGGTCTAAATAAATACAAGGCAAAGAAGGAACAAAGTTGTCCTAAAAGGGATTTAAAAGATGAGCCTGACTGTCAGCTTGAGATCATGTCGGTAAAAAAAGATATAATGCCCGATAATCTTCAACTTTTCTTTTGGACAGGGTAACGCGCAAGCTCCTAACGGCTTCAAACCCCAAACTGCGAAGGTACTCAAGCAGATATGATCATCCTAGTTTCACTCGTACTCACTCTGATCAGAAGGTACAAATAGGTTTGTCACTGCAGGTGCAAAGGTGAGATGAACTAAAAGCATTTATACTCCTCTGCCCACACCACGTCGCCTGCACAACAACCCATCAAAACCGACGCAATTAATGGCGTCCCTGACTCATCCCTGCAGCAATTAGATCACAAGAAAGGAACAGTTCCCACACTGGGTCAGCATGTGAAACCGGCTACCCATAATGCACAGCAGTGCCCTCGGAGTCACCTCATGTGCCAGGTTGCCACAATAAGAGCAACAACTTCCCACTCTCACTTCTACAAAGCTGCCAGCATGTGATGCCTGCCGTGTCCTGTGCCTTGAGAGGTCACCCTGAACCTCTGACCTCGCCGAGACGCTGCCAGCTGGAGGTCAAGCGGTTTTGATTCCTTTTTTCTTTGGGATGCCCAATGGCTGGGAAAACAGAGATTCCGTTTGTTTGTTTTATGAACTGTCGAAACAGTTTGAAGGGATGCTGTTATGTCCAAAAGGTCAGCGCTTACGTTTGGGATGTTGAATTGTGGATCAGTCCATGGTCCAGTTTTATCGCTTTAACAGCGATAATACAGCTTATGTAAGATCTCAGCATAAAGCAACGTGGCCAGCGGTGGGGTTATGATGAGTTTTGAAGTGGGCATAACCTTCTGTGTTCCTCTTACTGATGGATCCATCTCTCTCTGGGCACACAGGACTTCTCCTTTCTCTGCACCAGCTGTTTCCGCCCTAAAATGAAAAGTCTTATTAAAAAAAAAAGTGTTCTTCTGCCATCTTATATTGCCCTGCACATCAACACTCTGTTTTAAGTTACTGCAATCGTCCCAGTGGGCCCAAACTCTGTCTATGATGTAATAATTGTACTCATTTCAATAGATAGACAGATAGGTACCATTTGAAAGCACAGTCCCGTATTCAAAAGATAAGTTTACTTGTCGCAGAGCGTGAAAACCAAGATGACTCCATGACTCCCATTTAAAAAGACAGAGGAGTTTTGTCCTGTTGCCGGTATGAATTATGCCGGAGGTTTCTTTTTAACCATGATCACAATCTACTCATAGGTTTGGGATATTTGCTTAAACCAGTCTTTACTTGCAAGCTGTAATTACTCTTCTGTTTTGTGCACAAGCTGCAAGCAAGTTGCGATTTCTAAATGATTTAGCTATTTACACCAGTTTGCACGCTAACAGGGAAAAACAAGGAAGCTCACTGACACACGCTTGTGGGTGGAGTGAGGATAGTTCCACCTGAGCAGATGAAAGAAGTTTAAAAAACCTAAAAAATGTCCAGCGACATCAGGGTGAAAATTGGGAAGAAATAAAGAATACACCTTGGGTACAAAAGTACAAAAAGAATATTTCTGGTCCAGCAATGACGTGGTGAGATTATAAAACGACTGGGGCCAAATCTCAGTGATCACTCTTTATGTGCCATCACGACGACTGAGGGTTAAAAGCCCATTTGGAGGCAAATTGCTCCTTCAGGAAAGCCAGATAACAGAGAGACGGGCAAAGCCGCAGTCACATCTCCCGGCACAATTTGCACCTTTCGGTGCACTCATACAGTAGCTTTGGTAGAGAATGTAAAGTCCATTACCTGTTAATGTCTAGCTACTGAAGACGGCAAAAGCCACAAAATCTAATCACCAAAATTGGATTTCAAGAGGTGAGAAAATGAGCGCATGGTTATTTTGGACCAATTACTCTGCGAGGCGTGGCGAAGGCCCCGGGCGGGAAAAACCTTCTCTTATTTATTTATTTTTTCTCCAAAGGAAATTTGAAAATGCTCCGTCAGACACACCCGGTGTGTCCTCCCGTCTCCTGGGAGAGCAGGTGTAGAGGGGTCATTTAATCTGGAGAAAGCATTCCTATTTGTGGTGCATGCTCTGTATTGCTTCTCGAATACAACGGCAACAGAGAGCATTGTTGGGGGGGTTTTCTCTGAGGATGCTGCATCTGATCTGCAGCACTGATGAACCTGCTGATGCTCCACAGCTGTTTGCAGGGATGAACAACAGGAGCAGGAACCAAAGACACACCACTATGTGGAAGTGCAGAGCGTTTATCCCAGTGGGGTTGAAAAGGAAATGCTTGTAATTTGTCTTTGAAGGTACATTATGTAAATCCAAACACAGCATAATCATTTCAATATGGTTTACCAATGACCATGAGGGTAAGGATGTAAAAATGGTCATTTCCTCTAACATTACCCAATACCAATGTGGTAACAATACAAAAGGATTTCTCCTGGGTTGCTTTTGTTTGTTGCTGCTGGTTTCGTTACAGCATAACTGTTCATAACTGATTCATTACTCAAATACTTTTACATGTAATCCTGTGTTCTATTGGTACTGTGCTTACCTGTGAGCCTGACGGATGCCTTGCTGAGGCATCCATGTTTTCAAACGTAGCACTATTTGGACAGAGGAGGGGGGGGGGCTGGACATGACGCCGACTTGACCGCCGATGTCAACAATGCACAATGTCAAATATAGCAGAAATGCTGAGATGGACATTTTGCTCGGGCAAACAACTGCATCTGTTTGCATGAAAAAACTGTAATTTCAGTTATTCTTAAGAAAATATACCAAATATTAGCAATCACCTATAAGAAATATAATTTCAGTCTTTCCTGCAGTTACCCTTATGAATTCCCCTTTTTTACAATAACACTAGTGAATGTATAAATCTCCATTAATTAACTTAAATAATGTTAGTCACAGAAATTCAAACTATACCTTGAGAGTGTGACCTTGCATGCAGGCTTCCTTTAAAAAGATATCACGCATGTTCTGGGGTGTTTAACAGATAGTAAAGGCCATTTGCACGTCAGCCTCCACGCCGCCTCACAGTGGAGCTGTGGCGCGAAATCTTGAAACTCTGTGTGGACCACGGTGACCGCTCGCTTCAGTAAGATAAACGAGACACTTGTTTATCCCGCTGGTGGCGCCTTTTGCATGTGTTATCTACAGCGTATAAACCAGAGACTCCTCTGAGCAGCAGCCTGACGCCTCACCTGTAGGTGCATCAACTCGGCTTCTTCTTAGGTATGAACCTCCTGTTAAAGGATTTTACACCCAGTGTCCAGTAGAACCTTCTAACGTATAATTATTGTACCTGCGAGGATTCTCTCTTGGTGAACGGGATGTGGAAAGAACGACTGTAATCATGAAAAACATTCTTTTTAAAACCCCTTTTTTAAGATGTACCACCCAGCAGAACAAGGGCCCCTTTTATGAATTAGACTGTTAAAAGTCATGCATTTGCACCATTTGCCTGATTTACGGCGATGCAACTAATGGAGAACCTCAGTGCAAAGATTGTTTTCTCACAAGTTGAACATTACCATGTCATTCATGCAGCTGTGATTTCATTCATACGGTTCTAAACTTGTTTTACTATTGATATTTGTGTAACAACTCTTGGAAAAATATCAAATATGTGTGGCGCTGTTGTCTTTTCCCCTCCTTATTGGCTGTGCTGCTCAGTGAGTTCAATTTAGCGCTGCACTGGTCCAGGCCTCAGTGGTAGAAGGCCAAACATGCTGTGGGCGATAATGATGTAACAACTCTGTCATTCGTAGGATGCAAACATGGGGAGGAAAACACAAATCAGAACTCTAATACAAGTAGATGTTACCACTCATGATATAAATATTTATATCGTCTTACTGATGAAATGATTGCAAGACTTGATACATAAACCACACTCATTTATGAAACCGGTTTCTGAATGCGATCATTTTTTCTAAGATTGAAATTACTTGTATAGGATGTATTTGATTTACAATACATTATATGTCATTTATCCAAAGGGACTTTGAATAAGTGCATTCAAACAGACCAAGAAGAAAAATTTAGTTTGCATTCATAGTTTACAAAGAGAAAGACAGACAACGACTTCCTGTTGCTTTGCGCAAGATTTACTTTTGGTTGTAAATGCCAAAGTAAACATCATAAGAGTCCTAGATTACGTTTCTAATTTGTACCAAGATGACTTGTTTCTTACGTAAGAATATCTGCAGTGCTCGTGGGAGCATCCAAAAGAAACAAAATTTAACAGATCAAAATATTTTTTTGACATTTTAACATTTAACAACAAAGTAGATTTAATGTTGCCAAACTGGAGTTAAACAAAAAATGTATTTTGGTTTAGATTGACTGGGAAAATACATCAACCAGGAAGGTGTGGTTTATTCCGACTTCCTAGAGCCACTTTCCTTGAACAGCCATCAAGTTCACTAACTATTATCTATGATGGAAGACCGATTTGCTTCAAAATAAAGTACTGTTAATCTTAATATTTCTTTATGAACGTCACACTAAAAATAGGGAGGACAGATAATCGTAGATCAGTAGAAACATTTTTGGCCTTTGTCTGGACAAAAGAAAAGTCGGCAAATGCTGGAAGAAGATGGAAATAAAAGACAATACAAAATGTAAAACAAGCATGCCATTTAGTTCAGTATTTTGGGGTCACGGGAAGACGTTGCTCATTGTGATGTTCTACCATACAAACGCTTTACCAACTCAAACCCACTCTCCAAAATCAAAAACGTTCCCGTTTGAATTAGTGCATTCTTCAGTTTACTCATATTTATCACATCTCATCATATTTAAGTTGATGACAATACTGATCAATGATCACGAAAACAAAAACAACGCGTCCATGCGGGGGGCTTTTATTTTGAAAGCACTGACCGGATCTTGCGCACCTTATTCCGTCGTGCTTGACGTCATTTCCCATTCCGCAGCTGGTGGTTCGTCTGCGCGCTGACAGCAACAGCCGTGTGTCTCTTATACCGACAGCGAGTATCAACAGTGAGTTTACTCGTTGTTGAGCCTCGGAAAGCTTCGCATCAGCTCCCCAAACTCCTTTTTTCCCTCTTCTCCGGCACGTGACGCCACAGCGGGACTTCTTATTGCCAAAACTGTCTGCAACTGGTGTTCGTGGAGGAAGAGGTGAGAATATCTCCGTGTTTATTGACCCCTGTGTTTAATTTGACCCCTCATGTCTGTGGTGAATGGGGCTCTGCAGGCAGGACATAGGGGGGGAAATCCGGACCTCTGGTTTTATCACTGCAGCTCCTGCTGGAAGCAACAAGTAGGAGGCCTGTAAGTGTGAATGAACACACCACATGTACTCGGCCTGCTGGGTTAATGGGTGACAGAATAAAGTCGTTATTAACATTTTTATTCAATCATTTCCAGGTCGGAACTGGACGTAATCAGCTTTTCTTAAAGACCCAAAGAAAGGATGTGCTTGTCAGTATCGCATCATCTCAATGCAACCTGTATTTTGATATTCACATGAATCCCTGATTTGATTTCTTTGAGTCTTTCCGTGCGGTCTGGGAATACGGCTTTCCCATTTCAATGAGGCTAATGGGAGTATTCTCCCACTTCAGAAAGCACTCATCTCCGTGTAAACAAGCAGCTGCGAGGCAGAGCAAAGAATTTGCTTTGTTTGAACTTTGCATCTGATGTTGTGTAACGACATCAGTCTTTTGCAGGTTTCTCTCCTGTCACACCGCTGACTGAATAAATTACTCAAATATACATATTTCATATAACGGCTCCGTATGTTTTTAGGATTGGTTATTTGGAACATCCTTTATTATAGAGCAGGATGTTAAGCGTTTAGTGCAGCTCAAACTGGTCTGCAGTGAGCTTAACCTGTCACGCAGACTTTTTGCATTTTTAGTTCAAGTTGAATTGGTCTCAAAGTATCTGCAGTAAATACGTAGCAGCAATCTTCGGTTATCATAAAGGGCGGATAAACATTTCCATCAGATAGGCCACATTCTCTGGCGCCAACCGGCCCCTCGCACTCCCTCGCTGTCCGTAGTAAGGTACGGCGTCTCGCCGCACAAGGCGCTGCACGTCCGTTTCCGCCTGACTTTGGGGAGGCAGAGGGAGGGTTGCGGATGGGAGAATGACGTGACCTTGGGCTTTTGTGTAGAAGGCATGCACTTCTGGCCAATGACCAGCAACAACAAGAACGGCACTGTCACTCAGCCGGCTCTGACCCTTGTGTGTACTTTTGGCTGCGATACACACGCGTGTGCGTGTGCGTGTGTGTGTGTGTGTACATCAGTGTACAAGCTGCATGCCTGTTGATGATTTGGGAGGTTCGCAGGGTTCCAATGTGCCCCATGAAGCCAAAACGCTGTATGGAGTTTTTTTTTTTCCTGCCATTGAAAAATCCCTTTTTGTTGCTCAAATGGTTTTGATTGAGTTTCATTCTACCACATGAATGAGACACTAAACCTAATTGCGTGGACTTAATACCCCAGTGGACAAAATGCTAAACGAGTATCTTTGGAGAGCAGCAACAATTATCACTTCTCACTCTTCAGTTCAAGTGATGATGATGATGATGATGATGAGGGCAAAGGCCTTTTTTAAATCACATGTCGATGCATTTAAATAAATTATCTTTTAATTAACCAGCTAATTAGTTCAACTGGCTGAGATTATTAAAGAAGCATACAACATATTTTCTGCACCCTTTAAATGATCCCCCAGTGCCGCATCCAGGCTGTATATTTAAATGACGGGTTTCAATTGAGGTTTCAAGGCTCAAGTATCGGAGGTTCTGTGTTCATCAGATAAACCATCGCTCATGTGACCACAAACCATCGGACGTAGCGTCCCGGCTGTGAGGTAATAATGGTGGAGACCAAACCTTTCATTTCACTAAAGGAGCAGCGCTTTACTGCGCATCGCTTGGCATTTACTGCGTGTGTGTGAGCTGGTTCGGGAGGTTTTCGTTGACAATTTGCCGCCAGCTGCTGGAACGTGTGGCGGCGGGGCGGTTTGAAGGGTAGGTCACGGCTTCCACATCTGCTTTTACCCCCAAATGGCAATTTGAAGCAACCCAATCTTGCCACATTCTGTTTTCTCTTCTCATAATGTGACTCATTTGTTTTAGGAGTCAGTTTATTGGCGGCAGACACGAGGCCATCGGAGGCGCAGTGAAACGAAACAGCGCTTTCCTGTTCTGCTCTGTCGATTTTACATTTCAGTTTTCTGCTTGTTGTTAGTGGTGGGGGCCACATATTTTGATAAGAGACGGTACATTACGTTATTTCATCAATCATTGTCCGTGATTAGAGCTGGAACAGATGAGCTGGCGGGCGGTTTTATTAAACCTCAAACGGAGAATACCTCCTAACTCGTGATCTCCTGGCGTCTCATCAGTCCAGAGGGTAGAAGAGAATTGATAAACCGCGAGAAGACGGAGGTAAAGCCGCCCTCCCGCTGCCAGGGGACGCTGTGTGTTATCAGCCAGAAATACACCGTTTATCAAAACAAATGTCTTTTAAAGAAAGTAAAAGGATTCTGTTGCTTTGTAGTTGAGAGCGACGCACTTTAAAACAGTTTAAAGTCAATAATCACCAGTAAAAACAGTGGGAGGGCAAATCTCAATCAATTTAACATGAATACTATTCTCATTATTACACCAAATTCAAAACGCATAGTGGCCACGGACTTACTCAGCATCTTAACCGTTTAAAAAAAAAAAATGCTGATGCGAGGGTTTGAATGTGAACCTCAAGCAGTCGAGGACGGATAAATCTTTACGGCCTGCATTTCCCCACAAGGACGCCAGAACACGGGAGGAAAGTTCCATGTAGTGGCTTTAAAACAAGAATCATTTGAGTGTTTATATTATTTATATTATATTATATTATTTATATCTGTGTGTGTGTGTGTGTGTGTGTGTGTGTGTGTGTGTGTGTGTGTGTGTGTGTGTAATAAAGGCTTCATTGAAAAGGAAATGTCTCTTGTTTGTCGTGAGGCATCAGTCCAAGTCCAAAGTCTTTTATTCTTGCCACTAACGTACAGTTGCAGAACATTGGAAGATTGTGAGAGAAGTCGTGGCCGGGGTCCATATTTGATGTTGTCATAATTGTGACATACTGTAGTTTGGTGGTGAAGATGAAGCAGCTTGAATGACTTCATTTGCATATTTATTTATCACAGCTCTATGAGTGATTTATCCGGTAACATTTTAATGTGATACCATAAAAAAGTAGAACTTTATATTGCTGATTTACACGGTAACACAACTCTGGAATGGTCCCCTCTGCTCGGTGCGAGTTTAATTACCGTCGGTTGTCAGCGGTGCTCCTCTCTCGCTCGCTGCGCGAGACCTCAGCTACTCTTACGCACTGTCCAGTTATGTTGGCCGGCAAAATCAAAAGCGTCTCTCAGCCATTTGGGGAGATTAACGACCCCTCTTCTCCCCCTTCTGGGTTAATAGTGCCTTCCTAAAGGGACCTTTGTGCCAGAAAGGTGGAGACAATGTGTACCAGTTTTGACTGAAGACAGAGTCCTGCCAACCAGGAATGATTAACTCTTCTGGGTTTGCTTTATCTGATGTGTGTGTGTGTGTGTGTGTGTGTGTGTGTGCGTGTGCGTGTGCGTGTGTGCGTGTGTGTTCTATTGATCTACCAGCTGTGTCTGTCCTCAGTACATAATAAATCCCAATTTCATATTTCCTCTTGTCATTTTCAGACTCTATAATTCTAAAAGAAAACTCACCTTGCAGCAAATAGTGGTTCATTCCCACTGGAATCTATCAGTTGTACTTCTCATTGGAATATTTGCTCAAGGTTTTAAATCCCAGAGAGCCGGATTCTATTCTGCACAGCCGAGTTGCCTACTTGTCTTCATTCTTCTGTCTTGAATGGATTGTTTTTGTTATATGGGCCTTATGCAAAGTCTTGAGTTTTTAAATAAAACATCACTTGGGTTCTGTTATATGAATAGATTACTTTTGACTGATCCCCCGGCCATCTTGCTCAGCCGTCGCCACATTATTCATGATGGTGATGAGCGGCCGTACCTGATCCCTGGTCCGTACCACACTGCTTCCTTAGCTAAAAGGCACAACATTCCCCACTGCACAACCTGTACTTGAAAACTGCCGTTTCTCTCGTTGCCTTGCAGGACGACGGCGCAGCGACTGAGCGCTGAACATCCTGCACCGCGTCCTCTACCCCCAAGATCCTCTGGTTTCAGTTTAACAATGTGATTCCATCTCGCGTTTCACAGTGAGTCTAATCGAAGTCGGCCCACATTTTTTTTGGAGTCATCCATCATTCTGGGGGAGTCCTACCATGTGAGCTCATGCAGGACGTGAAAGAACCCCGGCCCGTGTAGGTAGATCTGCTGGTCTTCGCTGTGATACTTCAAGGCCAGCGAACTTACCGGCTGGAGAAAACCTTGCGCTCTCTCCGCTCGGCGATGCATTAACGCCGAGCATCCTGAGACCCTCTGCAGCTGCGATGGCCGCCGCCTCCTCCTCCTCTCCGGTTAAGGCCGAACCCCTCCTCCAGCTCCAGGAGGTGGACTCCAGCCGAATCGGCGGCCGCGTCCTTCACGCGGTCCAGGGCCCCTCGTCACCTGGCTTCACCCTGGAAGCGATTCAGCCCATCTGCATCCCCTCGCCTTACACCGACCTCGGGCACGACTTCAGCCCCATTCCGTTCTACAGTCCCACCATATTTACGTACGCCAGCCCGGGCATTTCCGACTGCGCCGCCGTCCACCGGTCGCTGAGCCCCTCCTTATTCTGGCCCAGCCACGGGCACGCAGGGCCGCCTCCGCACCAGGCCCAGGCCCGGCCCCAGCCCGGGCCGGCCGCCCAGAGTCCGTGGGTGGAGCTGACGCAGCGGGACAGCGCCCTGACGACCAGGTAGGGCGGTGCATCACACCCCCACTCCGACATTTTACTTTACTTGTAGGCCGAGAATCGACAGTGAGAGCGACGACCAAACAACACATTGTATCACCTAATCCCTTCTCGTTGTGGCTCTTTTCTTTCTGTGATTGATGGAGCTGTTGAGTAGTTTGAAACATGTCACAACCCTAGTTAGCGATTTCAAATAGTCAATTTCCAATTTTTTTTGGCAGGCCAACCATCCAAACCTCCCCAAAATGTAAAACATACGATGACCTTTAACTGAGAAAAGCAGCTCACATGTAACAAGCGGTTAAATGTAACTTTTGATCATGAAAATGTATCAAACATACTGAACCAAATGATTGATGAGTAAACTAATTATTTCAGCCCCAGTTAGTATTGACAATTTCATTTTAAATACAAAAATGATTGTGAATTGAATGATAAGCTTCCTCTTCTCTGAACTACTCCCTGCTTAATGAAGGCTGCAAAAAGCCAAAGCAATGTCATGATGGTGACGACTTCTTCAAAGGGAACATCCTGCTCAGTAAATTACGCCTTCAACACGGTATCTTTTGTCTTGAAATGATGACGGAAACTTGTCTTGTTAGTAAGAGTGTGAGGAGGCGTTCTCAGGAGGGCGAGGACGCCGTGGTGTCATCCGGCGGCAAGGCGGACCTCCACTACTGTGCCGTGTGTCACGACTACGCCTCGGGCTACCACTACGGCGTGTGGTCGTGTGAGGGCTGCAAGGCCTTCTTCAAGAGGAGCATCCAAGGTGGGCCGTGGAGATACGCAGCTGCCTCAGCAGGAAACCTTCAGTTCATTCCTGCAAACCGCCGTTCCTCAATCGATGACACGTTCACTTTCCGGTCATAACGAGTTACTCATACAAGGCGAATCTATCTATAAATATATATATATACATACGTGTAAATCTCTGTGGTCGTAATGGACATACGAGTAGAGGATGTAAAAAAAGTGTTTAAAAAAATAGATTTTTTTTTCTGCTTTTAATCCTTTCATACTGCTTTTCTCTCTTTTCTTCTTGCTGCCGTCCCAGGACACAACGACTACATCTGTCCAGCAACCAATCAATGCACCATCGACAAGAACCGCCGCAAGAGCTGCCAGGCGTGTCGCCTGCGCAAGTGCTGCGAAGTTGGCATGACCAAGTGTGGCAAGTCGTATTCTATCATTTCTTATTTCTGCCTCCGTTACCAGACAACGCGTGATTTACCAACACGGTCTCCACGGTTGTCATCTTGTCATGTTTATAGTCAGGAGATCAAAAGCCCGCCCCGTGGCTCTGTTTGTTCTCCTTTTCCCAGAGCAGCATGATCCCACTCCAGCAGCCAGGAAAAGTGCTGCTCCTCTCCAACGTAAACTTAATCTGTCAAACTGCTGTTAAAAAGTGGAGACGAATGCTGTTGGTAGAGCGGCCCAAATGAATATTTCTATAACAGCCTGAGTACCAGTCAAAAGTCTGCACACACTTTCTCATTCAATTCTCTAAGAACAATAACATATTTATACCAATGTCTGTGTTTTATTCCCACTGCTGTTGTTAACGGTTTCCTGTTCCAGAAATAAAATGCTATCAGACAAACACACAAACAAAAAACAAACCTTTTTTTAAGAAAAACACGTTTGACCACCTGCAAAGACTCAAGCAGAAGCCTGAAAAAGTTGGCGACCAGCTGGTGAACGAGCCAGATGTTTCCCTCAGGAGACCAAAACCAGAGCTGCTGCTGATGCTCCACGTCAATAAGCAACTGTTTGCTGATTAGTTCATCTTATGGTGATGACATCCCAGCGTTTTTACTGCGTCCCAGAGGCCAAAACAGAAGTCGTAAACCAAACGAACAATGGCCAATTTTAGAAGACGCGTTTCCTTTGTCTCAGGTATGCGAAAGGAGCGCGCAAACAACCGGAACCCACAGGCGAGGCGAGTGACCCGTCTGTCCTCTCAGGGAAGAACCAACGGAGCGAAAGCGCTGGCCGGGCCGGAGGTCAGTTTGCCGAATGAGCCCCACCCTCCTGCGCTGACCCCGGAACAGCTGATAGGACGAATAATGGAGGCGGAGCCGCCGGAGATCCTCCTCATGAAGGACATGAGGGGGCCGCGTGACTGAAGCCAACATCATGATGTCGCTCACCAACCTGGCTGATAAGGAGCTGGTGCACATGATCAGCTGGGCCAAGAAGATCCCAGGTGCGTGTCTGTGTATGAAGGGAAGCCTGAAGGAGAAATGACTTGATTGTTAAGCAGATGTTTCTGTCCAAGCCCACTAACGGTAACAAGCCACAGAGGAGCAAAAAGGATGACATCAAATACCCTTTTCATTTCAAATGCAATGCTAGACACAATTGCTTTAATGATATTATATAATGGTCTTTTTGAACACCATTTTGCAGCGCAGCTCAGTCAGCGGCACACCCGAGTTAACCACTGCGTCCCGGCCCAGCCGCTGTAATTGTCTCAATGTTAGTCAGCATGGGAGCCGAGTGCGGGCTGATTGATTCAGACTTTCTTGTCTGCACACATGACTTCAGGCTATTTTCGGCAACTGCTTCAGGCGAACACCGTGACTCAGAAACCTTTTACCTATTTCCATCTTTTTTGTTCAACTTATAATTTCCTAACTAGTTTGGACGTTCATGTTGGCTGCTTGTCGTCTTTGTGGAGCGTCACCGGCAGCCCGCGGTTACATGCTGTTATGTATCATGGTAAATAACCTGTAACATAATGTCATGATACATAACACATGCTATTTGGTCGTGTCTTTTCCTCAGGGTTCGTAGAGCTCAGCCTTTTGGACCAGGTGCACCTGCTGGAGTGCTGCTGGCTGGAGGTACTGATGATCGGACTGATGTGGAGGTCAGTGGACCATCCAGGGAAACTTATCTTCTCCCCTGACCTGAGCCTGAGCAGGTACCACCGCCAACATCTCACAAGCTCCATCAACGGGCCAGTTTGGCGTCATTATTGTGTGTTACGCGCGCATCACCGGCTTCTCGCGTTTTATTGCTGGTATCAGCCTCTCTGTTACAGCAACATTGATCGTTTTGGCATGTTGCTGAACGGTAGCAAGGAATGCTTAACCGAAAATGTCATTATATAACTTTAGAGTGTAATAAACTGAAATCAAAGATCCTCCAACCCGTAAGGATGTAGCTTCACTTTCTTTTTTTAATGGTGGAGTTCAGAATGGCACAGTTTCTACAACACTGTCACTTAAAAACAAGTGTTAAAAACAAGTGCTTCCAATACATTACATGTCATTTAGCTTTTTATCCAAAGCGACTTACAATAAGTGCATTTAAACCATAAGGATACAAACTCACATACAAATAAGCTGATTTCCAACTTGCTATAGATAAGAGCCATTATAAGTACAACTTAAGTGCTACATTGTGTTGGCTTCCACTCGATGAGAAGAATCTGCCGGCGTGATACTAAGGACATAAGTGTCCTGACTCAACAACACTTCCTTAGTGGTGGCCCTTATCTTCGTCGTCATGATACCTTTGAAGCAGTGCAGTGCTCTGCAGACACTCATGGCAAATCATTACATAAGTCAAAGAGGACTCCGCCTTAATGGTACAGGCTCCACCCACTGAGTTACCGCGGCACCCTGAAGCATCTTTTCAGCCATTATATTTTATAAAGGATATTTTTTAATAGGTAACCAAAGTGTGTAAAAAACAGAATATTTCCCTTCTGAAATGTTAAAATGTACTTTGTTACTTTCCACGACTGTAATGTTCTGCTGTTTGTCAAACTGACAATCCAGCTGATAATTCCTTTATTTTCCTTGACAAGAATAGTTCTGAGCCTGTAACGCCTCATTTCCTTCGTTCTGAATGTATATATATATATATATTTATTTTTTTATATGATTTTTGCCTAATTTCCCGAAAGGCATAAATAAAGAGCCGTTTCTGTGTCTTTGCCTGCTAGAGAAGAGGGGAGCTGCGTCCAGGGCCTCTCAGAAATCTTTGATATGCTGATAGCTGCCACGTCCAGGGTGAGAGAACTCAAGCTCCAGAGAGAGGAGTATGTCTGCCTCAAGGCCATGATCCTCCTTAACTCCAGTAAGTGTGTGCGCGTGCGAGTGTGTGTGTATGTGTGTGTGTGTGTGTGTGTGTGTTTACTCTTGTGAGGCCTCTTATTTGTGTCGCCTATCTCCTCGCTATGTGTTTAGATGTGACAAAGACATGCCTGTGTGTGTGTGTGTGTGTGTGTGTGTGTGTGTGTGCGCGCGGTGCTGCAGAACGGGAAACCGCGGTTGACTGTTCTGATCGGTGTCTCAGCATGTGATCTTGTCTGTGCGTGCGTCCGCATAGGGTTGTCAAGGGGACCGGCTAAATAACTCACCAGTGAAAACCCTAATGGGAACACTGTGTATGCTCTCATTGGCTGTGCTGCTCAAAGCATCAGACAGTGCTTGTTGGGGGATGAACGAGGTCAGAGCCTCTCTGGTGAGCAGCTATTCTGCGCAGTAATTAACATCCGACTAATGTTTCTGTTTTCCTTTTAATTGCCTCAAACAGAGCTCGTATTTCTGCATCAGTCTCTTTCATGGCAGCTTTTATAAGCAGGATGTAAAAAGAAATCCTTGACTGACACCAGCCTTTTAGCATATAACCATATACAGCAGTTTATGCGGCCATGGCTTGTTTTTATTATTTTAGATATCTAGACAAAGTAGTGCTTTGAACAAAAGGATAAAAGAGCTCAGAGACGAAAAACATGTAGATTGGACGTTGAATAGTCTGACCGCACTAGAATAGCCATCATCATCTTTGTGTTACCCGTCTGTCAAAGCCCAAATGTCCTCGTGTCTGTGTGTGTGTGTGTGTGTGTGGACAGACATGTGCCTCAGCTCGTCGGAGGGCAGCGGGGAGCTGCAGAGCCGCTCCAAGCTGCTGCGTCTCCTGGACGCCGTGACGGACGCACTGGTGTGGGCCATCGCAAAGACCGGCCTCACCTTCCGCCAGCAGTACACCCGCCTCGCTCACCTGCTCATGATGCTGTCACACATCCGCCATGCCAGGTAAAAGGACCCCACGTCCTTCATGTTCTCCATGCAAAATCGGTCGTTCACGTCTTCATTGACTGTTGGACGATATGTTGGACGCCACTCCCCATCATCTCGGTAGTGAAAAGTACAGCTCACTGCTGGGCCACATGAAACCGCCACTCCTTTCCTCTTCTTTCCAAACACGCAGCAACAAGGGCATGGACCACCTCCACTGCATGAAGATGAAGAACATGGTGCCTCTGTACGACCTGCTGCTGGAGATGTTGGACGCCCACATCATGCACGGCTCCCGTCTGTCCCGCCGGCCTCCGCAGGGGCCCGGGGACCAGACGCAGGTCCCTGCTCGGCCAAACAACCCCAGCGGCGGGCCCTCGAATACCTGGACTCCCGGCAGCACAGGGAGTTAAGCGATTAGATGCAAAGAGTTTTTACCGCTTTGCACAAAAGTAATTCACAAGACCGACGAGACATTTTTCTGGGACGTTTGGCTGATTTCTGTGGACCCTTTGCACTAATTCTAGTGCACTTTTGATGTGAGCATGTTACTCTGCAGACAGTCTAACCTGCCAGTATTCATCGCCTCATCGCTACATATTAACAAAAAGTACAATGGAAAGGAATGAATCATTTGGCCAGTAGCACCAGTTCTTGTTTAAACGTGAATCCTATGTTACTAACGTGATTTTTTTCCCTTTTCATCTCTGATCATGTTGATAATTTCATCAGGTATTATTCTAGAGGTCACTCAGAACGCTGGGTTTAACTGAAGAGACGATAACCACACCAAGAAAAGGATATATGCACAGTCCCTGTGAGATACAGGCGATTTCATGAGTTGTTATAGATCTGCTTTCTTTTATTTGAGAGCTGGCTGAATATTATATTTGCATGGCATTTTTCATTCACATGATACAAATACCTTGATTTGTCAGGTATTTATTTGACTGGACTAGATAAACATTCCGATTTAGTCATTTAATCTATCCGAATTTTTATAATGTATAATCTCTTCATCTTTACGCAAATAACCATATTCACTTTCTTGCCAAGATTTTCATTAGATCGATGGATCAAGACCTCTAAGCAATAAATATGTATTGCAGAACTGATTAGCATGAAGACTGAAAGAAGAGGAAAACAGCCAGCAGTGAAACCTGCAATATTTTGGTTGTTTAATACGTATTGAGGGAACTTAAACAATGTGACATTTTAGTTTTTGTTCAGATCAAACAGTTAGTGAGCTTCAGAGTTTCTGGTAACGGTTAGTTAATATTAAAATTGACGTACACAGACCTGAACGGTCTTAATCCTCTCATCCGACTCTTGGCAAGAAATGCAACAGGTGTACTGCACCTATTTCTTTTATGCAAAATGACATAGGTTACCGAAGACAATATAGTTTGTTAATATTCAACAATAAAAACTCCTGTAAGACCATGACGGCATAAATGTGGCTCAAATATGTAAGTTGTTTAAAAACGTTTTTAACTCTGTTGAAATAAATACAATCTTGTGCGATACATAGACCAAACACATCTTTCAGGCCACTGAAAGATTGAAAAAGTAATTGAGAACCGACCTTTAGACACGTGGGGCTCGACTTTCTCAAGTGTCCCCGTCCTGGCTTTCTCATCACAGACATTGCTGTTTGCAGCGAGGGAAAAAAAATAATCAAAACCATCGCTGCTCTTGAGACAACGCTGCACTCCGACTTGTGAACATACAAGCTCAAACTGGGGAATTATTTTTGTATGTTAGAACTGTGGACGGAAGACGACCTGTGTGTGTGCGTTAGTGCTTCGACGACCGGGATCATTGAAGGAAGCATAATGTGTAAATAGGTAGACTGTGCTTTTCCTCTGCACTCTGTAACCATTCTTGTAAGCTCTATTTTCACTGTGCACTTCAGTTGTACTTATAATGTGCTGTAAGAAAAATATTGCTTGACACCGGCAAAATCATTACACAGGACATGTATTAATAGGGGGTCGTCGTGGCGCAGGGGTTATAGAAGGTGTGCTGGGAAGCACAAGGTTGGTGGTTCGATTCAAGGCTGCCCCATGTCGCCCCAAGTGTCCCTGAGCAAGACACCTAACCCCTAATTGCTCCCCGGGCAAAAATGTGAAAAAGCCATGGGTTTAAAGTGTAATGTAAGCCGCTTTGGATAAAAGCGTCTGCTTAATGACCTGTAATGTAAAAGTAGGAGACAGGACTGACAACGTACACAGTTTTAATGCATCAGGGCTTCTCGAGGATCTTCTCCACCAGCGCCTAATATATAAATATAAATATATATATAGCTAAAAGATCACATAATGAAGCAGGGGCCTTTGTGTGCCGGTAATCGTCCTTGGATGCAGACCATCATGTTCTTTACCCTACAAGTCATCAGGAGGTGATCCAGAGATTTGAGGCATGACGTACACGGTTATGATTGTAAGAGACACTCTTCTGTTTTAAAAGCCCTGCTGACTATGACATTACATCAGTTTGTCCAGCATGTGCCTAGTTTGTTTCTTGTGAAAGAATTTCTGGGTGTTGCATCAATGATCTCCAGTGTGTTCGACCACGATGTTCGACCAGACCACGAACTATGTCGTTTTTTGTTTGTTATACATTTATCCATTCTCTCCAGAAAAAGTATTGCACCACCATCACAAATAATACAAACCAAACTTTAATACCCAAAATATTTTTTATATTATACTTTATGCACCATGTGTGCGTAAAGCAAGCTGATTAGCTTAGCACTAAGCTAACTGCTGGAAGCAGGGGGAACCAGCAAGCTTCACTCTCTCTTAATTTTAGAATCAGGTGTGGATTTCTTTTGGATTTTGCAAACGGCCTCCACGGCATTTAGCTGCATTCTACTTACTGTGTATTTGTGTATTTGACGTTTACGAGAATAATGCAGCACACTGCATTATTCTCGTAAACGCCAGAGGGTTTAAAAACCCAATATTCTGTCAAAACAAGAGCCATAAACCAACATCCAAAATGACCAGGAGGGATTGTAATGATCTGAACTCTAATATCTCATATTCATGGACTACGTTGTGGCCTTTGTTCAAGCCCTGTATAGAAAAAATAAAAGTAATAAACGATTTTTCTTCAGATAAGTCTTTGAGGGTACAGCCATCGCTTCATTTATTACCACAGTAACGTCTTTAGTTTTGGCAATTTCGGCATCAGAAACTGCCTTCTCTGCTTTTTTTTGTATCCGATAAATGGAAATTATTAAATTTTAATTCAAATGCGGAGAAGTGGCGTAGTGACTTTGGCTACGACTCCTGTGGCAGCAGCAACCTGTCGATCACATTAAGCTCGCCCCATTGCATACTGGACCGTAAATTACTAAACAGAATACTTTATTGAAGAAGAACTTTAAACTTGAGACCATAAACTCATGTTTTCTAAGTTATTAAGGTAATAAATCAAATGAGAAATATGACAATTTTCTCATAGACCTCTATACAAGCCGACTGTTTGCGACCGCGGATCGCCGCCCCCTGCTGGTCAGTAGACAGAATGCACTCTTAAAAACACTTTCCAAGTTACATAAATTCCAAGGTCGATACGGAGGGCTTGGGAGCACGCCGGCCGTCATCACGCGCGCTGCTCGCGCCCTCCGTTCCCGCTATTCAAAGCTTTAGCGTAGAAAAGGGAATTAAGTGCGGTAACCATTCGCTTGACAACAAAAGGAGGAAACCACGTAGTCTCAAAATGAGCTGTTCGTAATCTCTCCGCTAAAAAATGCAAGCTCGGTTTTGGTGGATCAATAATCAGAATAACGTTTTGGTTGTAATGCTTCTTCCGATTTAGAATTTTTAAAAGGACCAAAGAATATCCTGCATGTAAAGTACTTATTAACACATGCATTTGTTCATTTTAGATGGGATACAAGAAATGCTTTGAGTAAAAGTCTTATAAGCACACATAAACCCTTTGATGTTATAAATAAGCTTTGTATTATTGCATGTTTATGTGTATAAATCTAACATTACAATGTTAACTGTCTTTGATGTACAAGTAAAATTTGAATGACAGGACAATGTATTTGATTTGATTTAAAAGAAAAGCTGATAAAAGCTAAGCAGGTTCTTGTTTACAGTCATTATGTGAAAATATTGTAATTTTGTTATTCGTTTTACATTATCCAGTGATGGCTGGAATATAAAATAACTCACCTGTTACTTCAAACTCCACCTTGACTAAAAATACTAACAAATTGTAGCACTTAAGTACTCTTAAGTGCTTAGTACTTAAAGGCTCTTTGTATAGCAAGTTGTAAATCGGCTTATTTAATGAAATTGCACTTTCTTGTTTCTTGTTCTTTTGAGTTTGTATCCTTATGGTTGAAATGCACTTATTGTAACTCGCTTTGGATAAAAGTGTCAGCTAAATGACATGTAATGTAATGTTACTGCTGCAGTATTCTTTGTGCTTCACCTCTCCATGTGTTAATACATGCCATTTACCCCAAAAATGCTGCGAATCTTAAAAATATTAAATATTATATTCTTGGGCTTTGTGTTAACGCTGTGTTTGTTGTGATTAAAAGCAGACTATTGGTTGGTTTTAAAAAATAAATGCCCAAATGTCTTTTGTCAGATTAAATCTTCATGAAAAAAAATATTTCCGTATGTAGGATTATGTTGCGGGGTTTTTGTGGAAATTCTCCAATCCTTTCTACTTTTTGTGACACACTATATTGTAACTTTATTTTTTCTTTCAGATATATTATCTATATATATATATTATACCACGTCAATTTATTATACAGGATAACCTTTTTCGAAGTTCTATGCTATGACTTATTACACTATCCTTTTAAATTGTCTCATGTTTTTTGATGACCATAAATATTTAAGACATATGATACTATGCCTTTTGATGAAATACCATACTATGATTTATTTTTAGATTTATTAACATATTATTATCATTGACTTTCATGCCTTTTGGACATAGTATACTGTGACTTTTTCTATCAAGTCATAATATAGTATGGAAATAAAATAATTATTTTAGGATCTATGAATGACATACTAAACTAAAATATTGTAAATAATATACAATTGAATTGAATGAATTAGTTTAAAATAATTGCCTATAAATGATCATAGGATTTCATGACATGAACAATTCCTTTATTACATGAATACAGTACACTAGAACTTTTGTGAGAAATTATATTATGACCTTTATGCCCTTTTTTATGACAATTAACCTTGTATAGTAAACTAACTGTCTACACTAAAATCTTTTAATGACAGACTATCGGGAGGCATATATATATATATATATTTTATATTTACCAATGAAAAAAGTAATCACTTGTTTTTGGGCATTCATTTTCAAAGAGTAACTTTGTGGTTGTAATTCTTTGTATTTTTTTCACATGTCTTTTTTTTAAATGCATCTCGGATGTCCAAAGCATACAATGCATCCCTCAGTAAAGTGCATATTTACATATTTATTTGTTCATCAATCAAGCTCAATTTTAAACTACCAAACAATTAGGAGCAATTTCATGTTATAAATAAGCATCATATTAATACAATTTTAACACTTTGTTCTGCTAAATCCAGTGTTACAACAGTGCAGTGGGGGACATTTACATGTCAACACACAATCAATTCAAAACAAATTGAATCTAAAACAATAAGTTGATACTTTGCGTGTATAAAATGTTTGAACGATTAGCTTCATAAAAAATAACATTACAAACCTTGCTTACAGATCTTAAAGTATCTTTGATGTAAAAAAAAAACATTTTAACAGCTCAGTTTAACATACCAATAGAGTATGCATATTTGTTTTTTGAAGCATCCAGTTGGACAAAAACATGTGACAGTTTTTGTTGTCTTAGAATTAGATTTTTTTTTCATCTCTATTCTTATTTTCCAATGAACACACTGCAATATGTTTGCTGGCTTCTGAAGCAGCAGAAGGGTATTTAAACTATTGTACCTGCTATTGCAAGAGTATGTCTCCTGCCTTTCCCCCCATCTACTGTGTAACTATAGGGAGATCAAAAAATGTGGAGGTTCTCCGGATTGAAATGGTTGATTTTGAATGTGAAATGAATACAATCTGTTCAGGGACCCCGTAATGACTTCAATCACTTCACTTCAGGTGCTTTGTTTCTTTTTTTCATTACAGGATGTTGTCACTCTTACAACTTCTTCCCATCAGGTGGGCGGTGGGCCGTTGGTGTAGCGTAACATGGGGTAGAAGGACCGGGCGAAGTTGTTGGCCCCGGTGCAGCCGGCTTCGCTCTCTGACACGGGAATGAGACACGGGAGGAGCAGGAGAAACACGAGGAGGAGGTGCAGGGGGAAGGCAGCTCGCAGGACCCTGTAGAAGAAGGAACGAGGCGGAGGCGAGTCTCTCTTCTCTCTGCGTGACACATGAGACACGTGGAATGAGGGATAAGGACGTAACTCGACAAAAAAAGAGGAGCGCCAGGAAACACTTTAGAGTATCCGCAGTCTTTTGTAAGCCTTCATGTAAACTTTCCATGAACAAACCACGATCGATTTAAACAACAGTAGATAATAATGTATCAATAATGAAGAATTTCTGCCCACCTTTGAGTGCAGGAACCTTTCTTTGGATGTGCAGACGTGTTTTGGCCTTGAATGTTTGATCCAGCATCACCATCCTGAATTAAAGACATTGTTATACAGCACGTCTGTGTGTCTGTGTGTGTGTGTGTGTGTGTGTGAAGGTTTGTGTTACATTTGTGTTTCTCTGTAATCGAGTGGTAATACTCTTTCTAATAAATCTTGCATTGAGTTTCTCGCTTAATTTATTAACTTGTGCTTCATTCCCACTCTGTCAATCATTAGCATTCTCTTACAATAAATGCTGAGAAAACTAAGTTTAAGAGCTTTGCCGATTTAGGGTTAAACTCTCACCAGACGCCGCTGAAGAGCGCCGAGGTCCTGCTCCACCTCCCTCAGCAGCCACTTGAGCTTGCTGCTGGTCACGTGGAGCTTCTCCTCGGCCTCGCCGGCCTCCTCCGCCTCGTCCTCAGGCTGCAGCTGACTCCACAGAGCCTGGAGGGAGGCCTGCTGAGTCTGCCTGCCCCGCAGCTCTCTCTGCAGATCCTACAAACCACAACAGATGTAAAAGATGGCGACGGAGGCGGCCTAGCGGCGGGACGCGGGATGTGCCACAACGTTTTGTGGAACATCCCGGGTTTCATCTGCTTACGGTGAGCGTGCTGAGATGTTGCCGCAGGTCTGTGGCAGGTGTGGCCGGGTCGCTGATGTCTGCTGCATAGCGTCGGCTCTCTGCGTGGGCCAGCCACAGCAGCAGGGAGTGCAGCCGTTCATGGAACTCCTGTGTGGGCAACAACGGACGCAGGGTTTTTAGAAGTAGTCAGATATTTAATTTAATGCAATACTGTGCAAGAATGAGATTCTGCACAACACACTGTACATATTACATGTAATGCAATTAGGTTTATAAGTGGTACGTATACAGTGGTTATAAGTACAGCCCTCAAGGTCAGTTGTATACAAGCTGAAGTTTATGGAACTGGCAAATATGATGTCAGAAGCCAGAGAACTATATGGACAGAGTAGGATTTTTATACGAATACTCTGCGTAGTTCTACTTTTTATGACATCAGGGATGAGTACTGAAATAGCAATACGAATAAAAAGAATGGACTTAAATAAATATGTTGTTAACGGCATTAAAACATAAAAAAAAGAAAAAAAAATGAAAAATCTGAGAAACTCAAAAGAACAATCCACCTTCTGCAACACTGGTGTAGCAAAAGCAGAAACCGGTCTGTCATGTGAACTGTGTCCTCACCTTGCAGCGCGTCAGCGTTTCCCTCAGCCGGCTTTCCCACTGCTGGAGGCCTGCACACGCTCTGCCCCAGTCCCGGTTCATGCCGGCCAGTCCCTCCTCTAGTTCTGCAGCTTCCTGGGCGCGCAGGTTGACGGAGAGCATGATGGACTTGTAGTGAGTAAATGTCCTCTGCATCTCCTGCGGGAGAATATCCATGATTACATAATAAGAAAGAAAAAAGCGTAATAGTTCAGCTCTGTTGTATTTGGTCGTAATTCTCACCTTTAGTTTTGTGGCGCTGGATGCCATGTCCTCAATACTGGCTGCCGGTTCCAACTGCTGCAGGCGCTTCAGCTCCGGGGTCACCTTTTCCAACCAGGAAGTGATGTCACTGAGGGCAGAGGGCAGATGACAGGCCTCCTGTGGGCTTCTGGACTGAGCCTGGAGCAGCTCCCAGCGCTCAATCACACCTGAGAGAGCAAAACACATTTACAGATGTATGAGAAGATGCCATGAGAAACTCACCATTTATCGTCACGCCTCTGCTCTCAAAAAGTTCATTGGCCGGCCTCAGTTGCTCTTCTGTTTATCTATCTGACAGGCTGAAGTCTGAATGCAGTTTTCTACCCACCCGACTGTTTGTCTGCGGCACACAGTCCTGTCAGACCCAGGTCCTCCGGCTGCTCCTCGTCATCCAGGATAAGCGAGACTCTTTTGATGTCCTCAATGCTGCCGCTGCAGTCAGACATGAGAAGCAACTGCAGACACAAGGAAGACGCTTTTAGAAGAGACGCACACTGAGAAACATCTATTCATATTCCACATGAACGTTTTCCTTTCCATGTCCTCCCTAGTGAACTGGGTGTTTTTTAGACGTACGTAGCCCTGCTTCAGAGGGGTGCTGGTGAGGGCCTGTGGTGCCTCGGAGGGCCGATCAGAGTCCAGCTGTGCTTCAGTGTCTCCCTGGCATCGCCATCTTGGAGGCTCGTGTTCAGCCACAGATGTGCTTAAAACTGACGCACAAAAAAAATGAATTAAAGAACCCAATCGCAAATATAATATTTCCTCCTAAAAACGTAATTTACTGTATTTTTACTTGTAATAACACTGTTTATTAATGGTTGGTTAATCAGCAGCAGGAGGAGAGAAACAATAGGACACAGTTCAAACCTGTCGTTGGAACAAGCAAGACAACAAGTTTAAATAACGCTACGTTTAATTAATACAGTTAATCAATTAATACAGTTAATACATCAATCCAGCGTGGCAGCCGGATTCAACGGAGTTGACCAAAGGCCACGTAAGAAGCTGGATTATGATGTCACAAAAATCCATCTCATCAGGCTTCAAGTAACGCGTTCGTGCTTGGCAAGTCAGAGTCCGGACCCATGGGCTCCCTGCAGGGAGCTAGCCGTGTTTTAGGTGTGCAGGACAACACGGAGAGGCGGCTTTCATTAAATAGAAAAAGCACAATGCCTCCTGAAGAGGTTTGCATAGACCAATCAAAGCACGGCCACAGGAAGCAAAGTATCTGAGCAACAGCAACGTTACCACAAACCAATAGGCGCAAAGCTACGCGCGCTGCTAAAAACTATTCATTGGAAACATATTCCACCACGAACAGTCAAGCAGTGGATTTATTAGGCAGAGGGTGAAGATTTTTTTTTTTTCCTACCCGGGGGGGAGGCTCGTACGGCCTCCGGAGATTCAACAAATTCCTCCTGGCTCTCAGTCAACTCCACCTCTGAGAGGAGAGAGGGGTCAGAGTGGAGATGTATGGATGTTGGTGTTTGAGTTTGTGTGGGAAAAGGATGTTTCATTTGGTCTTGTCTATTTCTTTTAAAGGGGTAGTTCAAATTTTTGTATGCGGGAGACACCTTAAGACACCGTCATCTAAAGTCTGCCACAACTCCTGTGAACTCCTAAAGCGCCTCCCTGCGTCTCCAAACCACCATGTACTGTAGGTAATACATTGACAATATATAATTACCCCATAAAAACCCATTTGAAAAGATCCAACTCCCACTTCAACAGCTTAGGAATCCCATTAAATCAGGTGTTTGTTTAATCATATCACCACCAGCCAAACTGGAGTAATCAATTTTCGCCACAGAAGCTTTTTCAGTAAATCAGGATGATTTTTAAAGGACTCAAAGGCTTAAATAACTAACAATATAAAGCCAAGCTTCCCGGGTGTCAAACAGGAAATGGCTTTCAGGTGCTTCTAGTGTCCTTCCACATGCATGTTTCTTTTGAAACGACCATCACGTCATGATACGGCCCTCTAACCTTGCATTATTAGATACTAGGAAACCTTCATCAATCAATATGTTTTTCTGTATATCCACCTGATGGAGCACTGAAGTAGGTTCTGTCATCCTCTTGTTCTTCCTCCTCCTCCTCTTCCTCCTCATCCTCATGGGACGATGACCCTCCTACGTCTCCCGTGTGGTCCCACTCCAACGGCAGGGAGTCCACGCTCACCGGCGTCTCCCGCCCCGAGCGTTCCAGCGGAGAAGCAAGCAGGCGGGTGGGCGTCGCCGGGAGGCTTCCGTGGCTCCGCATGAGCCAAGGTCGGCAAATCAGCTCCAAGTTGGACTCCAAGGAAACGGCCGCACCGGAGAGCGCCGGTTCTTCTCTGATCATCTGAGGAGAAGAAATAGCAGGTATTGAGCTTTTCACTTTAGAACTCAAAAATGACAATCGCCGTGATCGCCACCGCTTATATGTCATGAATTTGGATTTGGATTGTGAGATAAAGATGGCATGAAGTTTATACTGGCAAATGTAAAATAACATATATATGCACATGTGAACATGTATGAACCAAATCACAAAGGCACAGAATAACAATCGGAAAAAGAGTGTGCTTGGAAAAGAAGGAAAATCAACCACGTGATGAATGGAAGAATGCAGAGCAGTGATGCGGTTGACGTGCTCCAGCTCACCGGGGGCTGACTCAGACGTTGGTGAAAGCGGACCAGTCTGCTGAAAACCTCCTGGCAGTAGGAGTGCAGCTCCTCCAGCTCGTCTTCTATCAACGCTGCATCCTGCAGTGTGCTCTTCTGGATCAGACCCTCTCCAAACACTATCAACCCATCAATGCGCTCTGTGTTCACGGTGATTTCCTTCTGGAAGCTCTGCAGCAAAGAAAATTGGACGGGTGAATGAACAAAAGTCAGGAGGAGTTTGAGAAAACAAAAGGTACCAAACACAACAGTAATAGTGTCTGTTATGGCGATGGTAAGCCGATGCCTTAAACGAACAGCTGCATTGTGTAAGCAACATGAGAAGTGGCCAGTTGCTTTCTTTTTGGTCAAAGCTTGAAGTCAGATGAAGAAAAAAAAGCCTTGTACGGTTCCCACAAAAAAAAAGAAAAGGTGTCTTTCTGTGTTGCAGCATGTCCTCACATTGAGCTGTTGGATCTTGTGATGGACGTCGCTCTCTGAAAAGTGTTCCACGTTGGTGAGCTGCAGGTCCAGCTCGGTCAGCCACACCAGCATGCTCTCCCTGGTGCCTTCAAACTCCTCCCTCTGGCCGGTGAAATACTGAGAGAAAAAGGTGTGGAGGTAGACGACATATAATAAAGTCAAAGGCTAGACAACTGACATTTGAAAGGAAGGTCCGGCATCGCGTGCTGCACCTTGAGTCTGCGCAGGACGGCCGACACTCTGCGGTGCAGCTCGTCCCAGCGCCGGTTGCCTTCATGCACCATGGCCTTGAGCTGGCTGGCTCGGTCAGTGCGGTTCTCTCTGGCCAGACGGCGGTACTGGTTATTGACTAGTTCCAACTGGGTCAACCGCTCATGTACCTGCCTTTGGAAATTCTAAAAGGAACAGGGCAGATTTTTAATAAAGAACAAACACCATTGAATAACAACAAACTATTGACCAATTGAGAAAATAAAGCGATTAATTGATTGATTAATTAAACGATAACTGTTTTTTTTGTTCTTTATTTTCTTGCTGCTAAAAGAAAACTGGGTTATAACTGTTATGTTTTTATTTTATCAAGACAGAAAGAACTTTGAGCCAAAAAGAAATAAGTTATTGACAAAGATGTGTCTTTCACCCATTCAGAATTCAGAATTCATGAATTTAGTCACATCCAATTTGATACACAAGAATGAGAAGAAAATGTTAGTTTAAGCCTGATTTTTTTGCCGACGTCGCAACTGACCTCAAACTTCTTGAGCTCCTCCTTGGCGACCGTATAGAGGACGTCTGCAGAGTTGGGATTGGCCGCGGTGCGCTCGGCCATCTTCAGCCAATCCTCGAACCGCGAGTAGTCGTCGAGGAACTTGCACCAGAGCCTCCAGGTCTCCTCAATCCTACAAGCAGACACAGATGAAGGCTTTTACCAGTGAGGGGGATCATCAAACTCTTTCATCTTACTTTTAATTATTCATTTGATTCAAAATTAACTTGTTTGCATGTAAAAACTGGCGTGAATTGTGGTTGCCCTGATCTGACTGATTTACCAAAGGGAAAAGCTTGTGTGTGTGAAAGTTCCTACCTGAGCCTCCTGTCCAGAGCTATGGCACAGACGGCCCTCCAGCGTTGGTCCAGACTGTTGCTGGTTTCTTGCAGCGAGTCGCTCTCCACCTCGATGCCGCAAGCAGCCTCTCCGTCCCGCAGCAGAACGTCGCACAGACTGAGTACCGACGCTACGCCTTCCGTGTGCTGCTCAATGTCCCTCTGCAGCACCTGCACGGACACATGGACGCACACCGCGTCAGACGTGGCCTCGGACCCACCGGATGAACCCGTGTGTTATGCACAGCAGACATACAGACGGAGCTCACTGTATGAGACCACCAACAAAGAACACACATGAATTATTAATCGTAAAGAGAGGCAGACAGTAATTGGGCGTGGCAGTGAAGCAAAAAAAACTAACTGCAAGAATGAAAAATCTGCTGAAGAAAGAGAACATTTCAAAACCGCAGAAACTTACAACAGAAATTTTAGTTGAAAGACAAAGCTCCACATAAATCCTTGAAAGACAATAACAGTGTGTGTGTGTGTGTGTGTGTGTGTGTGTGTGTACCTGCTGCTCCTCCAGCCGCCTCTGGATCTCCTGGAGGTGACAGACGCTGTAGGTGATGGGTCTGGACAGTTCGGCCTCGATGCGAGAAAGCCACGAGCGGAGATTGCTCATGTTCTTGTCCAGCTGCTGCACAGCTACCAGAGTCTCCTTCAGCTTCTTCACCCTAAACACACACACACACACACATTAACAAACACACACTTCGCTTTATTAACTTTATCTTTTCTTTTAATTTTTAAAATGAGGTTATCCACAAATCAGCCATCAAGAGTGTTGGAAACATCATGGGGTAGTTCACCAGTTCATCTCACTGACTCATCCTGTGACCTTTTGATCGGTGCATCAACGTCACTATGGTTCTTATTGAGCTAACTGAAACTGTCCAGTGAAAAAGGCGCAACGGTAAATTTGCCTGGTATCCAAAAGAAAACATAAGCGAGCAAAGATTAGAGGAATGTGTGAATGAATAAGAACAATTTACAAGACCAAACCTCTTGAACACTTGAACAACACTAATTAAAAAGACACAAGAACAAAAGAGCCTGTAGCCAAATCTGGTACAAAGCGTCTCCTCTCTTTGTATGAGAATCTTGTTTCTTATAGTCGGCCTACAATTTCAAACATCTCCATAGTAACTGAGACACACACGCACACACTGGAGTTATAGCAACGCTGGAGACAATAGAGCACTATGAAGCTTAAAAGCTTGAAGTGTGTCCTTCTTGGGAGTTTGATTTAATGTACCCGTTGCATCCTTCTCCTACTGCCGAGGTCCAGTAGGAAAGAGCCTCTCCACCTAAATATGAAGCAACTAGAGCAGCTGTGAGAGGCATCGGCAGGCCGAAACCCCTGAAAGCTTCCGAACGGAGGCCGGACCTTTGAACTGCGCAGGAGTACATATGTGAGCGTCTGCATGGATATATATATATATATATTTATATATATAATGTCCTCGTGAGATCCAACTTTAAGGTCACCTTCAGTCTGGACATCTTCAAGTAGCTAGTAAAATCCTTAAAAATGTATATAAAAACATTGTATATTTTTTTACCTATTTTTTGTGACCAGCTCCAGTTACAGTTCAGGAGCAATGCACAGTTTGGTCAGTTTATGTGTGCAGTTACTGTGTCTTTATGTTTATTGGCATGTAATGAAGACATAGAGTCGTTGTAAATTGTGTCCTGAAAATACTCTTCCCCTCTGCACATACAACCATCCCCGTCAACTAAATTGTCCGTGTCTCTCTTTCAGTCCCGCTCTACCTCTGACAGCTTAACAAAAACCAGCAGCCTCATGCCGAGGCACAACAAAGACACAAAACCCAGTCAGGGGTCCTCTGGGAGGAAAAGGGGACAAGAGGAGAATGAACGGAGCAGAAAAGGGCTGCAGGATAAGTGAGGATATACGGTCGGTGTTAAAACAGTAAAGAAGTGTAAGTTACTGGGATTCTTTTTACCTTATTAGACATGTGCTTCTTCGCCGGTGATTGAATCACTTAACTTTTACGTAATGAATGATAGTGAGACTATACTTTATTATCGCATCAAGTCAGTTGTTGCCAGCAGCTGAATCAAAGGCATTAAGACCACAAAGAAAAGTGTCATAAAATATAAAATAAAAATCCTCTGTCTCTCTGCAAAAAATGTCAAGCTTCTTACTTTTTCATAAAACTCTTTTCCAAAAAACACCCGGAAAACTCAGGATCAGGAATCCCGCATTACAGTATTTTACATCTTGCCCCCCAACCACCCCCTCACACACACACACACACACTAACCCACCCTCCCTCATGTCGTCCCACTCTGAGACTACAAAAAGTGTGGGGGACAGTCGGAGGGGACATATGGTCCTGTCTGAGACGTAGACACAGTAGCTTGTATGCACATACTCTGTATCTCCAGCTCTTACGGGACTGTCCATCTGTCGGAGAGGAGGAGTCGGGGGCCGTAACAGGTCACCATGTAGCAAGCCATGTATTCCTGACAGCTGCAGAGCACGACTAATAACAGGAGGTGGATGGAAGGATCTGCATTAGAGGGGCCTGTAAGGAAGGCTAATAATGGGGTGACATATATTATGTGGTGATAAACTCTTTCATTAATTGCCGAAAAAATATACACGGTACGCATGTAAGGGGGGCCCACTAAGCCCGTACTCTCAGATCCTCTGATAGATGTGGCTGTTCTCACCTGGCTTCAATCTGGTGGAAAAGGTTGTGCCACCGCTGGTTGACCTCCTGCAGCGAGCCGTTGACCTGCGTCCGCTTGGCCTCGTCGCTGGCCAACAACAGCTGCTCACCCAGCTGCTTCAGGTGGCTTTTATTCTCACTGAACAAGTTGATTTCCTCCATGCAGTCCTGTGGAAACATGACAACAGCGTGCCGCTTTAGGAAAGGAGAAGGAAAACCCTCACAAACGGTGTCTATACTTTGGATTGTTGTATTAATTTGTGTTCTGCAGCAGGCTGATTTCATATTATTATTGTGTTCAAGATATTAATTTGGCCAATCTGCTTTTTCAAAAGGACACCAAATGATGATCATTGTTATGGCATAATGTTGTTGATTAAAGCTTCAAATAACCAGAAAAATATAAAAATAGGGATTTCAATTCAATTTGAAAGGGGAATGTGTTAATAATACACCTTCCCTGCTCAGTATCCCCTTCATTCATCCTTTCTAAATGCCTGGTCCCGGTCCCTGCAGCCGTCACTTATCAAAGGGGAGTGCCACTCATCCAACAAGTGAAAACAATAATCCTGCAGTGTTCAAACCAATTATTATCTCGGTGAGTAGATGAGCATGCTTCACCATGAGACCGGCACAAAAGGCCACTGAAAGAACAAAGGTTGTGTATGAACAAAAGGGAAGTGCAGCCATAACATTCCAGGTCACCATCTGTTATCAACAGCATAACTCATGCATTTTAACCTACTCAAAACTCAAATTAACAAAAGGGGGTATTTATGTAAGAGTAGAGTGCCGGGAGGAGTTTAAAAACGTTATAATGCGCGTGAATACAAACCTGCAATGTACATTGAACAATAATGCTGCAAAATATCTGGAAGAATCCAATTTCATCCAAATTCGGTTTAGAATACTTGTCACCCTGTTGTGTCCTAGTCGCGTGTGAGCAGCTGAACACGCATGCAAACACCTGTTCTTCAACGAGTTCGGGAAAGGAAGATATTAAAGATTCTAACATCTTGTACCTTCTTAAGTTTCTCCACCATTTCCTCGATGCTCAGCTCCCCGCTGTGGCACACCTTGTTCTCCATCTGAGTCAGCCAAGCACAGAACTCTTTGTTCTTGTCGCTGAAGATGGTCCAGGCATTGAGACGGTCCGCAATCTCTCGTCTGCGCGACGATACCTACAGGAGGAGTGATAAGAAAGTAATTTTGACCAATGTCCAAGTAATAACTATTTTAGGACAGAGGTATATTTAGTTATTTAAAGCGAGTCAGTCTGCACCATTGTACATTTTGTACATCATAGCGTGGTGCAAAGGGAAGCATAACATGGTAAAGTGCTAAAGAAAATAACTGTTCAACACAATAGATTAAATGGTACTGAATAAAAAAGTGAACCGAACATTAATGTTTTTCTTTCAATATCAATGCCATTTAATCTCCATCTGAATCAGTACACTGAAATCCTGAGGGACTCTGGCCGTTTGATCAAATTAACGAGGTCCATTTTCCCTAATGACAGCTTAACGCCATGAGAACACCCATCACAGAGCCGAGGAGGGGCCGATGATCTTTTGGAGGTTAAAGGGCTTAGCGAGCCCTTGAGGCATGTTTGAATCAGCCATATTTTACTGCTCATTGGCATTTATTTCATTTAAATGGGCCTGGCTTTAGTTTTAATGTACTTGCATCGCCGCACCTTTTGGACTCGGGAGAATTTAAGGAGCATTGTGAGCAGCCGTCACCCCGTGAGGACTTTGGGCTTCCCTGGAACAAAAGAGCCTGTCCCTTGAATCCTTTTAGCCCAGCCGGGCCATCTGCTCAGCCATTCCAGTGGCTTCCCCCACCTGCAACCTGTTAACTATGCAGAGGAAACGCTTGTGGCTCAGCTTCATGCCCCCCGGCCATGTCAGGGATGAAACACTGTGTGCTTAATCTAACAGCGAAAATTTGTTTGTGCTTCCTCAAATAAAATTTCTTCTTTTTGCCATGAGTAAGTAATGTGATATATAGAACAGAAAATTCAACCTATGCACATGTTTTTTTTAATTTGATACATAAGTAACTGGTAGGGGCTTTCCTACTTTCTTTCGCTTAAAAAATGAAGCGTTTCTTGTACAGGGTTTGCTCTGGGAGATCTTCTATAATGAAGTAGTCAGGATGAGTGGCTGCTGCACGCTACTTGAACATTGAACGGCTCCATTTGTGAATAACTCCTGCCAGGACAGGAGCAGGTGGACGCAGCCAGTTCTGAGAGGGGACCCGATTAGCATAGCTGCAAAGATCCAACAGCCCCAATAAAGGCAGTAGGCATCTCATAACCGCTGGTCTCTCAAGAACAAAGTGCACGGTTGTGTTAAAGCCAAGCGGCTTAACTGTAGGAATTTGAGCCCGTGCCTCTACGGTAGAGCTAATCTCACAAATAATGCAGTTACAGAATGAGCGGCCTGTTTCTGTTGGAGGGTTGATTGTTCCGTGAGCAGTGTGTCCGAGCAAGGAGCTGATTATAGGGGACCTTTTCAAAACGCTTGAACAAACGGCATGAGGCTCTGCTTTTCACATGGTAATGCGAGCAGAAAAGGGCTCTGTTTGACTTAGAGGTAACCGAATCGAACCAAATCAGCCAAACTGACCTATACAACACACATCTAGTATCAACAATAACTTGACGAAATGAAATATGAAGACATGGTTAAAAGTAGTCTTAACAAAAAAGGGACCCAAAGTTGTCATTTTCCCTCCACAAACCGGCACATGTTACTCTTTTCTCAACCAAATGAGTGTGTGTGCATATGCGTGTGTGTGGTGTGTGTGTGTGTGTGTTCAGCCCCAGTGGTGCAGAGGGTTTGTGCTGCTGGTCAGCGCCAAGACACTGAGAACTTTTCCCTCCTTCTCTACCACTCCTTCGCCAAACCTCTCCTCCCCACCTGCACCATCTACCACCTCCCACATGTTCTCTCGTCTCTCCTCTGCTTTGCTCGGCTCTCACCTTCGAGCACAGCTCTTCCCATTGACTGTGGAGTTGCTCCAGCTGCTGCTCCAGCAGAGCCGAGTCACCGGCCGCTACGTACTGGGACATCTCCGTCTTCATAGTGGCCAGTTCTCTAAATTCCCCGGTGAAATGCTTCAGTAAGAGGTCTATCTCCTGCACAACACACACACACAGTCAGTCACACAGCCGTGCACAAACTGCGTGGACACATTTCTATACCTCTTCCTCGCTCTGACCATTCAGATTAAAGGGCTGTGGACAGGACAGGGGGAGGGGATAAGAGGGGGAGGGGAGTGAAAGCATGGGGTTGCTAAAGAAAAGGGGGCTAACCTCAGAGGGGCTCTGGTGTTATGGGGGGGGGGGCTGCTGATGGAGTTGAGGGGTGGGGGAACTTTGGCCAGTGTGCAGACCAGCTGATTATTGATGCTGCTGATCTATCAGAACGAGTGTGTTCGCCTTTAACTTCACATACATTATGATGATTTATTTTCATTGTGCCAAAAATAAATTTTGTTATTTTTAGTTTTCAAAATCCTTCCTCGGGCCTGTTATATTATCAGGTGGGGCGGTGAATGCGGCCAGTCACAACCGGCGGCTGGTTCTCTGAAGATTCCAACATGGATATTGAGAATTCATTTGGAGATTACATGACGGTTTGTGTGATCGGCCACAGTAATGCAGGCTTATATTATCGCCACAGGGACGCAGCTGGGATTACAGATACACCAGAATAACCAGTCAAGAGCATCAGTCGGATCCAACAGGGAAAACAATACTGCTTTGAACTACCGGGCTTTAAAAGTTGTTGAAAAGGTTGATCAAAATTAGTATGAAAAAAAACGTTATTCATCAATAGATTTCTCTTATTATTTGGTTCAACAAATGCGTGTCCGTAGTTTAGCACGGAGACACAGAGCCACCGATTGATCTATGTGCCAAGAATAAATGCATTATTTCTGTGTCCGTGTTCTATATTCATTGCCTGGTTGATAAAAAAAAGGGTAAAAAAAGAAATTTATTTCATTAAAAAATGGGTGTCAAAACGCTTCCTTCTATTATGAGTAAGTGATGGGAATGCCGGGCTGTAAATGTGTTCATTACCTGAACATGTTTCTCGCCCTTAAAGTCCTGCAGTTCCTCCTCAGGCAGCGGCTGTTTCAGCCGACTCTTCAGCTCCTCCAGCTCAGACGTGATGCTGGATATCGTGTCCTGACACTCAGTCCACTTCTTAACATACGGCAGCAGAGACAAGACAGAGCAACTCTAAGTCCAAGAATGAAGAGAACCGCACCCTTCTGGTCCTTAAAATCAATTTTTACTTGAGCATTTTAATAAGGAAGTTGGTCAGTTCCACTTTGTGCGTTAGTGCTGCTCTGTGTGTGATCTGATGTTGCTCAGAGGGATTTCTCTTTGCCCGGAGGATCCTGCTGAGCCTAAAGGGGTCCACGCAACTTTCCCTGACCTCGCTGGGCCTGGACAGCTAAACGTCTAGATACCTTATTTAACACTTATTCAACAGTGATCCTCAAGAGATCTCACTTAATTTCTTTAATATTCATAAGACGATGCAGTACGTCTATCACATATGTCTATGTATGATGCTTGTATGATGATATAAGAGTCCTGCTCTGTACTGTGATGGAATGAACGGGACGGACAGCCAGACATCTCTGGATGTGGATCATGGAGAGATTTGAGCCTCTTTGATCCCTCTTGGCTGGATGTCTGTGCCAGGGCAACACAACAGATTGTGTGTGTGTGTGTGTGTGTTGGGATAGGATCAGATCCTGGATATGGGTCACGTAAAGCTGCCCCCTCCTACTCTGTTAATACTATAACACATGCTCTTCTCTTGGATTTTTTTCAGTTCAAAGCTGCTAAATGTTGACACAGAACGATTGATGCGTGTTGGTATTTAAGGGAGATATGGTTGTTACCTGGACAGCTGTGCTGAGCCCGTCTCTCCTCCTCTCCAGCAGTGAGGTGGTCCGTTCCCAGGCATCCTGCAGGGCCTGAAGCTCTGACTGCAGTTGGCTCTGACACTCTGACTCGGTCATGGTTTCGCATAAATGTCTGCCGGCCCCCAGCGTCCGGGTGAACACGCTGGCGTGCAGACCCAGAGCGTCTTTAACGCGCTTGAAAAGGGAACGTGGGACACAGTTTTAGTTGTTTGTCATTTTTAACTAATTCAAGCATCACAGCCTGCACAATTGTACTGTTCCGCCACGTTCAGAGTTCAACTGTTGCTTGTCGCTGAGAGCCGCTGACTGTACATCCTCCACTAACCTGGTCATCGTCCGTGCAGCTTGGGAGCTGATGCGCGGCGAACACAGCGGGTCCAGCAGAGGACAGCAGAGGGTCACCTTCCCTCAACAGCCGGCTCAGAAGCGTCGAGCCACGTTGGTAGACTCTCCAGTAGCCCAGTTGTTCTTTAGTGGAGGACCTGCGCTGTCCGGCCAAGGCCAACGAGTCCAACCAGCTCTCTCTCACTCGGTCCACGTGCGCCATCAGCTCAGAGCTGTGAAGGAAAAGAGGTTCCACTTATTTATGTTTTGGAGAAAAACTAATTGCATTGTCGTCTGTTGGCAAAAGGTGCTGGCGTGTGTCTGATAAGTGCAAATAGTCAGCGCTGCATGTGGGAATGTTAGTTGTTGTAAAGTTGAAGTAAACTTAATATGCTTTCTTTGTAGAAAATAAATCAACACATAAAATGGTAGAAGAAAAGTTACAAATCCACACAAAATTGTCAAGAGTTTTAAGAGAGGCTTTGGGTGCAATCCCATGAGAAGAAACTTTCCTTTTACTCCTTCAAAAAGAGACATCTAAGAGCTTTCCAAAGCAATGATTTAAGGGCGCTTTGGTGAAGGAGGCATGTAAACGATCCAGGACAGGAAACACCTGCGCACACTGCATTGCAATGTCAGCAGCATAAACACAATGTTTATGTTTTCTAGTTACTTTATAACGTCACAGGTTTGAGAAGAATTCAAGACAATTTATATACATCGCCTTAGAGAACTGGACCTGGACATTACTTAAATACTGGTGCTGGTTTCAGCCTGAACTCTTTAAGCTTATTGATAATGTAAACCATTTTATTAATCTATCAAAGTATTCAGGTTTTACTTCCAACGCTTACTTTATAAACTGCTGTTGTCAGCTCAAACTTCTCCCTTCTACAGGAAAGGTCTGATAATTGTTCCATTATCAGATTCATTGCTTGCTGAACTTCAAAAGTGGCGTCTTATCTAATTATGAGCCTGTCGGAGGCAGGCGAACCTTGAGCTTTGATGACGAAATGAGGGGAGTGGGGGGGGGGGGGACATCACAACTCATTTAAAGTACAGCTTCTTCACAGCGTGCTTATCCAACTATGTAATAAATCAGAATTGCAGGTGCCAATGCGGTGCAAAACACCCGCGGTTAAGAATGAAACTGACCAATCCAAACGGAGGAACTGAGGAATGCTGCTCTGTTCTCCTCTGGGAATGTATTCAGTTCATTCTCGCCCTGAAAGCAGTCCCAAATGACAGGAACAAAAAGGGCAAATCGTGGCTTAAAAACTGCCATTTGAATGTCTTCCTAGACGTTTCCCTCGCTCACCTTTTCTCTCCTCCCTCGGTTTCCATGGACTCCACTGCATGACAGAGAAGACCCTGCACCAGCTGATTTCCAATTATTATTTCAGCTTCAAGCCTCTGATGGTGTGAGAAACAGGTAATTAACATGAACAAATAACAACGTTTACATGAATAAAGTAATTAACATGCATTTTGCTTCAAAATAACATCAATTATTTAAAATAAGGGTTCAGCCTTTTTTCGTAGATATGCATTAACCCGTTTAGACTGAAAGCAAAATATGTTTTTCTGCTGACAGTTCCTTATTAATCTAGCAACCTCAAGCCTTAATAACTTAATATTACTTGTTATCTAACGACATCCAGGCAGAATACAGATGAGTGTTGTTCTAGAGTTCAGACTAAAATATACAGGGATACAAGGCGAAGAAAGACAATTAAAAGCTTAGAGCAGACTGCAAGTTGGCTCTGCTTTAAAAGACTGTCCTTTCTATTTAAATCCAATCAATTTTGTCTGAAGTGAAAGAAATGTAGAGATCCTGAAAAGCGTTGAAGACCTTGTGAGCAGTCATCATGTCTCGGAGGCTTGAGATACTTTGACATTTTTTAGACATTGATTCCTCCTCAATCTTCTTCTGGATGGCGGCCAGGCTCTTGCACTTCTCCTGGAGGTTCTGAGAACACTGACGCTCGGCCTGCAGCTCTCTGGGGAAACATTTGGACTTCAACAGGAAGCAACTTTCAAAATGGACTTGCATCCACTGTATTGCGTCAGAAAATGAAGCCATTAGTCATTACATATGCCGGATGAACGTTCAAATTGCAACAATCAAATACAAAACTCAATCACACATTTTTTTACCAAACTCTCACCTGTTTATGTCAGATGCGTGAGTCATGCTTTCCACCCATTGCCTGCTGAGCATGTGCAGCCTCTCTGTCTCGTGGTTGGTGAGGATCACATAACAACTCATCTCCCTGACGTCAACCAGTGATGGAAACAGATCAATGAGCTCCGAGAGAGCCTGCTATCCAACCAAGGAATAAAAATGATTAACACACTTACAGTTCCTCGTGTGCCCCTTCATCCAAAAGTGTAACAAAAAAAAAAGGTGACGCCAATGCTGAAGCAATTTAAACTTGGATTAGAAGTGTCCAAACTAGTATTGGACAGGAAAGTCTCTGAACAACCTTTATTTCGTCTGTGTTGTTGAACCTGGTCAGATGTTGTGGCCTCTGCGTCTGCTTTTCTAGGGCCTCCAGTAGAGTACGAAATATCTCCTGTTGCTCCAAAGCTTCCTGCACACAGAAATGTCAGAGAATTGTTCTCCATTCATTATACACTTGACAAATTAGATGTCAACAGGACAGACAGCTTCTATATTGTGTTAGTCACTGTACGTGTGATCTTTCATCAATTCTTGAACTGCGACAGAAACCACAAACTAAAACCTACAATTCTACTCTTGTTGTAGAATGAAGGTGATATTTTGACTTATTTCCTCACCTGGAGACTTTTTTTTTTTGCTGACATCGCCTCTATAAGCAGCAGGACGTCACGTGACAGCTGTCTGGCCTCTGATTTGATAACATTTGTGGCCAGTGGTTCGAGCCGTTCGATGAGAGGCTTGAATGCCCCGAGCACATCTCCCGCACTGCTTTGCAAATCCTGAGCAGCATTCTGCAACTTCTGGTGTCAGGGTGTGAAAAAAACAATTGAAATGAGAAGATACGTTTTTTTATCCACCTGTATATTTATGTATATAGATTTCTCTTTTATTTGGATATCATTTGTCTGCATTTTCTGCAATTTCAAGTCCATAAAAATATTTAAGATCATAACATCATGGCTGCTATTTATCCTTTTGAAAAATGGAGATATTATTTTAGTTTTTTGGCATGAATGTGCAAAACAACACATAATACAACATCTGAGCCAGACGGGAACACGGAGCAGCTCATCGCTAATTGTTTTAGAGTGGATGCGGCCTGTTTCCTACCAAAAATAGAACAGGAGACCAGTCTTTGAGAAACACTCTAAAATAAAGGTTTAAAGAGTACAGGATGAGTACAGTTCTAAGAAAACCTATGCTACAAACAGGCAGAACTAGATGGATGACTTGCTTATTGACTCTTTACTTTCAATGACTTTTAACAATGCCAGGAACATTTCAATGCACCTACTTTAAATGCACATTTGTGGAAGCCTTCTTTAACAAAAAAATTACAGAAATTACCAGCATTCAAAATGCATAATTCCGCCATGAAAAGGAACATGTTTAATGTAACATGTTTAATGTAACATTTTGTTGCATATCTCCAAAAGGCCAGAGGGCCTGCAAACAAAATTTCTCGTGAAGACAACAAGTGTAACCGCCAAACAAACCGCCATAAAACGACCTCAACAATGCAGAGGAGGAATTGTAATTAACTGTTAACTATCTCATTTTCTTGTCTGATTCAGATCCACGATCACCGGATTCAACAACTTTAAACTCACCTCCACTGAGTGAACCATGTCCTGTGTCTCCCGAGGTGAAGACCTCCACAGCTCCTCCCACTGACGCCACAGTGTCAGCAGGTCCAGGGAGCATCGATCAGACAGCTGAGTGCACCCCAGCCAGAGACAAATCGTCTCTTCGTTCCTCATGTGCTCATTCTTTAACTCCTGGACTACATCCTCCCACCTGAGCGCGCACACACACACACACACACACACACACACACACACACACACACACACACACACACACACACACACACAAACGTTCTATAATGACAATGTGCTATGAAAAGAGACTGAATAAATGTACGTTTTTATGTCGAGTACAAGACGTTTTATCTTAAAAGACACTTTTTGAGATTTGTGTTCACAAGACTTTGGATTTCTCTTTTGGTTCTTTCGGGTCACTGACCGTTTTCGCTCTGCCCTCATTTGATCATCCAGCTCCTGTGCTGTTGCAGGATGGACGTTCTTCACTAGACCCTGATAGGATTTGTCCACGGACGCCCAAAGCCTTTCTCCTTCTCTGACCTTGTCCTGGAGTTGCTGGACACAGAACTCAGCTTTTATATTTTTTCACTTCAGAGGTGCATATACTTCTACTAAACCTAATAAGGGTGACTGTGGTTTCCACGTCTATGAACACCCACAACTTTATGAAATCTTATAAAAGGTGATTTTAACTTTCAACAGGCTGTGTCAAAAACAAATTTGCATCTTATGAAACATGATGGTCACGAATCTTCCTCACCTGAAGGAGGTCCTGGTGTCCTTCTGCCTGCTTCAGTGAGTACAAAGGTTGGTGTTGAAGAGCGCAGTGCACCCTGGTGGTGTGAATAGAAACCTCCTTCAGATCCCTCTCGTAACAACTCCACTCGCCCACATTGAGTTGAAGAGCTGGTTGAAGAACTTCCATCTGTCAATTAGCACAAAGGAAGACAAAAGGATGTTTGGTGATGCAGCATCCCTGACAGTGGGAACAGTTTTCTTATTGTTTCTGAGCAAATACGGTGCTTTCTTGTTACTTTTCTTTAATATACAATTGGCAAGAAATCATCCATGCAGCTGGTTGAGGTCTGGAAACAATGAAAGACATTCAAACGCTAGATTATTAGTACTTGCTAACTATGGCACATTTCATTTTTGTCAATTGAGCCATTGCTCTTAAAAATAATCAATAGTGTAGCTTTAATTATATGTTAATATATGTGTGTATATGAAAGCTATACAATTAGGTAACAACATATAGTTTTAATTATTGACAAGAGAAAAGAAGGTTTGTTCTGGATTTTCTCAAAGTCCTTTACTTAATCGTAAAAGTAATCTTCAATAAGTTTACAAATAACTGTATTTCACTTTCTTCCGGTGCTCATTTGATGTACTTTTACCTGTTGACTAAGTTCCACGTAAGCACGACAAACACTCTCAGTCCAGCCAGAGAACGAAACGTCACAAGGGCGATCCTCTTCATTTGCAACTCGTATGGATTTCAACTCCTGCAAAGCTGCACACCCCTCCTTCACTTTGCTCACAGCAGCCTAAAATACAAAACAGGCGAAGTTTCAAGATCAGCAGGACAGACAGACCAGACGTACGCCTGCTTACATCCGGTCACTCTACCTCCAACTCCAGCATAGCCTCACGAGCCGCAGTTTGACTGATGGGCTGTTTCCATTGATTCAAGTGCTTCTTCTGCTGCTCAATCCAGCTGTGAAGACGCTGCAAACGCCTCTCTCTGTCTGCACAAGTGTAATGCGTCTGTTCGGCTTCCCGAGACTGAGGGGACAAAGGGACAGTGGCTGGTTCGTGTGAATTAAAAAAAAGAAGAAGAATTTTTTTGGCATAATTTGAGTTATGTCTCTGGTTTGACTAATGGTTTTATAATATGAACTAGTTGACCTTTTAATGACAGGCACCGCTTTTTTGTATTGTTTGAATCGGTGGTTCTTAAGCATTTCACATATCAGCTGGTTAGCACAGCTAGATGCATTCGATTTCGGACTGGACAGGTCCACCAGTTAGTTGAAGAACAGACCTGGCACTCCAGCTCTCCCTGAAGGTGCAGCCACTGGAGTCTGAGGGCTCCGAGCTGCTCTGCACACACTGTGCGCTCTGAGCGAAGGGCCCGGACATCAGGTCCCCCGGGCTGAGGACCAGACTGACACAGGAAATCCAGGAGGAGCAGCGCATTGAGCGCGCCCGCCTTTAGCTCCTGAGACAGCACGTCACGAAGAAATCAACACAAATATGGCCATCAATAAAAAAAAATGTTGCACATTAAAAAGTACAAATGAATCCAAAGACGATATCGTGGAGAATCAACAGCTGTGATACTGAATTTGAGTTGTAATTTCTGGTGTGTGGTGTGACGGCCCCAGGGCCACTGGCAGGGTATTTGTGGGTGTGTCTTTGTCTGTATGTGTGTTACAGGGTGAACTTCCTGGTGGAGTGGAGCTGAGGCCATCAGGCAGATCAGACGCAGCTGGCCACTGTCTTGAGCGCATTAAAACCTGCCCCTGTCTGAGTGTTTGGGCGCGACTGCTGGCTTTCCCCTGTTCCCCAGTACAATGGCGGTTTCGTTTGTCTAATCGGTTACTTTGGAGAATAAACATCGTTGGCTGGTAATCCCTGTAGCGTGGTTTCTTGTATTTGTTGTGGCCTTTGAGCCGGTTCATAACAGTGGCCAGAAATATGTTTCTAACATGAAATATGTACTTCAACAATTTTTCTTTGCCTATTAAAGATTATATATATTTTGATACTAAATGGTATCTTGAAACATTAATAAAGGAAGGAAGGGATGTTGAAACACTGCAGCGTATTTTAAGGATGAAAAAATGTGTAATTTTGAGATTTTTATCCACTGAATGTGAAGCAAATGTATCTTACATTGAAATAATCATCCAACATGCTCTTGAAATGAATGTGGACAGTGGAGGGGTAAGTACCTGGTAGTGTTGCAGATGTTCTGTGATCTGAGCAGCATCTTCGGCCTTGACAAGCGTTCCTTTCTCCAGGCTCAGCCGATCCTCCAGCTTCTTCCGCCAGGCCTCCAGGTGTGACAGCAGCTCCACTGGGGGCCCCGCCGCCGCCAGCAGCTGCTGATGGACACCAGGCGACAGAGAAGAAAGGGATGTTCCAATTATAGCCGTAATAATGTTCTTTTTATCTTAATCTTTTTTTGGTAAATGAGATCATTTCATTCTGAAACGTGTAGGACATCAAAGTTTATCTTAAAAAGGAGAGGGTGGATATTTATTATGTTGTAGAATTATCTGGTTTCATTCACTAGTAACAAATTGCAAGAAGGTGAAGGACATCTTTTATTTTTCCTCACTAAGTCCTCCCAAACGTCCGGTCTTTAATCACCTAGAAACGGATTTCAGCAGGGTTTAGACTCCCCTGCACTGGAGGGGATATCTCTGTCCAATAATGCTGGAATACCAACACACTTGGGATCAAGACCAGTACACTTTAACGTAGATAGCAATAATCAAGTTTATAAGACATTTGATGATTGGTGGAGGTCACCCTGACCATTGCATCATTTTATATTAAGGTGATAGATACATATACAAAGAATATATCACAGTATCACTATTAATATTTCCATTAAGGTGCAACTACCATACATTTGAAACCTCATGTTTCTCCAGCAACTCTTTGTGTATGCCGTACCTGCTGCAAGGAGTCTTGTATCGTGGACAGGTCAGAGGTCAGCTGGGTCCAGCTGCACTCCAGCTGGGCGAGCTGAGCTCTTAGTTCAGGACAATCAGCTTCCCTCAGGCGGAGCAGCTTAGTGGCTTCCCTGGATGCAGACGCCCTCTGGACTGACATTGCTTCAATCTCCATGGAGAAGTCCTGGGGGATGGGAGCACAACGACTGAAGCAGAAATGCGTTTTATCATGTGTGTATGCATTTTACACTACTAGATGACATCATCAGTCTGTGCATCCTCATGTGGATAGATGTTTGTCATTTAGAAGATATTCCCTCTGCCTTTAGCATTGATATAGTCACCTAGGGCTCCATTCCATGGTACCAACCTTAATATTGATTGGGGTTTTTTAAACCTCTATTTTAAAAAAAATGTATAAACCAGCGCACCAGCAGTTTGATCAGATTGGCGCAGATGCATTCCTGCTTCAGGTCCGAAGCGTTGGCCAGGTTTGTCCAACTCTTTCTGTGTTTTTCGGCGCCAGCCAGCCATTCGCTGACAGAGGAAAAGTCAGTCTGGAATCTGTGGGGAGGATGAGAGCATCAGATAGCTCATCCAGTGGGGCGGAACACGACTGCTCGTTAACAAAGAGTGAGTTAAGGACGTGGGAATGGGTCCAATACTGACTAACAGCAAAGTAGACACTTTTCCCAAGTGGCACATTTTGGGTGTAAAACAAAATCTGTCTCCCACTTCTTTAAGACTATATCCTCAGAAATGCCAAAACCCTCATGTAGTAGTATCCGCAAGAAGCTGAATTAGGGCTGTTAATATGTACACATATTTTCTGAGATTTCATACTATGATAGACTTGAGTTTAAGGTTTCTCTTTTTTGAACAGGACGTCACTGTAGCAGAATTTGACGCAAAACTCATTCAAGTCAATACTCTCCCTTGCAGCTTGCTTCATTCTCTGAAAAAGAACATTTAAATTCTGACTGACCTAAATATATGGAGTTACTGTAATAAAAGTGTCAAGGTCATACATGCTAGACCTCTTTGACGATGGCTGTTGATTCTTTTAATAGATGAAAACCAGACTCAGTACATCTTCAGATTGCAAACAACCATATTTGACTTGTTGGATAGACAATCGTTCTTTGCTGTGAAGATGCCAATCGACTGTTTTTTTTATTTATTCCTATAATAAAGTTTGTGTATTTGAGACTGGCCCACCTGTCCTGGCTGTCCTGGATATCTCTGCAGCGCCGACTCTCTTGCTCCGTCCGTCTGCGGGTGCTCAGCCATCGCAGCTCCAGAGCGCCTCCTGCCTGACCGACTTTGGCAGCAAACTCTGGATCTGCCTGCAGCACCTTCCGCTGATCCAGGAGCAGTCCTAAAGCAGCTCTGCTGTCATCCAGACGAACCAGTGCTTGCTGGGTGAGAAAATGGAACCAACAATGATTATGTTGAGTTTACATCAAACTCCGTCAGAAATGTACAATAAATAACTCAAACAATAACAGAGGTTCTCTCTCGAATGTACAAAATACGCTGATCTTAGCTGATAAACATGTTCCATATGTGTGTGTTTACCTGGCAGGCGGCTTGTCGGTGCTGTGCTGAACTGCCGTTGTCTCCCTCTGGTTCCCCGCTGCTGATGAAGGCTTCAAGGTCATCTAACAGCTCTCCAAGTTGACCAGAATTATCCTCCCAGCGTGTCCACTCCTACAGCAGGTCCAACCAGAAAACCAGACATTCGTTTTGACATTTGATTCCAACAAGTATTCTAAATCCCATTTTGTTATGTATGAATTCATATGGCCCTCAGCAAATGTGTACTACCAACCTCAATTCTCCTCTCATAAGCCACTTCCTGTTGCACAGCTTGTTGCTGCAGAACATTGGCTCTGACTTCCAGCTGTACACGCTCAGCCTCTTGACACGCGAGTGCTCCTGGCTCACGTTGGAACAAATGCTGCACAAAAGCCAACTGAGACCCGAGGACTCCCAGGAGCTTCTGGATCACCAAGAAAGCAGATTTTTGAAGTGAAACAATTGCACCGTGGGTCTGATTTAAACAAAGACAGAACAGTGCAAACCAAAACTGACCGTGAATCAGGTCTGAGCATTGTTGTGTGAAGTCTAATCATTAGTTGTTTTGGGACTGAGCATCTCTTGGAAAACCATCAAGAGGCTTCTACACACTATTTTGAAGGTGCTGAGTTTAAACCAGGTCTAGGGCTGCAGCAACGAATCGATGAAATCGATAAAATTTGATTATTAAAAGCGAACAAATTTCATTATAACCTGGCACGGAAGCACTACGTTGTCTCGTTTTGACATGAGGAACGTAATGAGCCTCCAGCAGTTTCGCTGCACTTACTAAAGCTGCCCCATTGCATTGTGGGTAATCACAGACACCACTGTGTAAAAGACGATCACTGTGTAAAAGACGACGATCATGACTTACACATGTGACACGTGTGAGCCCTGAACGTGAGTCAATGGCATTGTGGGCAATCACCTGTTCACTGTTTATGTCTTTTGTGTTGTTGATGGGAAATACGAGCAAATAGATTGCAGATATTTATGATGTAGTTTCTTCCTTCAAATTGGGATTTATATTTGCAGGTATGTTAATTTCAACATTACTTTTGCTCTAAATGGGTTCCCTTCCCTCAGCAGACTTCAAAGCACGGGCAGTTTACAATAAAAGGAATGTCCGTATCTGAAAATGTGTATCAATAAATACAGTAACAGTAACTTTGGAGGTTTCTTGACATATTTTCTGGACATTAGCAACATGAAAACCAAAAAAAGAATGTGCACACACTAAAGTGAATCGAGAATTCAACAACAACTAATTGTACTTATGCTAGATGCTCAGATCAGTGAAATGTTTCCCAACTTTCCAATCTTAAAAGCGTTGGCAACGAATTTCATTATCGATTCGTTGTGTCCCGTGATTATTACGTCACTCAATGAGTTGCGGAGACACCACTCTGTAAAAGACCACACGTGCGTGACACGTGAGAGCCCTGAAAGTGTGTAAACGGCATTGTGGGTAATCACACATGTGTGTACAACATCAACCAGATGCAGTAGCGTTTTGATGGTGCTCTTGATTATTTCATTAAACATATTTGGCTTCACCCAGCCACCTAGCTGACCGGCCGGCATCCCACCCACCACAACCTTGCCAGTCGGTCAGCTGGGCGGCTTCGCTGCTGCTGTTTACTCTCATCCAGCTGATCAAGCTGGCGTTAGCTCGCTAATAACAACAGTAAAGCAGTTAGCAGGAGTAAGACACGTTTTTATTTACTCGCCTCTTTTAGAGAACAAGTTCTGACATTAAAACAAATCCTATTACATTTTCTGATTTGTATTTTTCTTTATTTTTTTATAAATTATTATGTTCAAGGAGTAACCTGTACTTTCGCAATGTGAATTTGCAGTTCTGTTTTAGAATAAAGGGTTGGAAATTAAAGCTTTTAATACTGTTTTTTAATCTGATTCATCGCTTAATCAAAGAAATAATCCACCGATTAATCGATTATCAAAATAATCGTTAGTTGCAGCCCTAACCAAGTCGTTGCTTGATGGTTGAAGAACGTGCCGAAAAGCGTAATAAGGTACCCTGTATCTGCATCGGATGGCTTGAAACTGGCTGCAGTTGTGGGTGCGGCTCATCTGCTCTTCTGTTACGCATTCTTCACCCAGCTCCACGAGGTTAGTTATCCCCCGCAGCAGGGACCGGGACACTTGCTGTAGATTGGCTTTTACGCCTGGACTCTCCCTCTGATGACGGCCCTGCATGCACTGCTGAGAGAGATACAGAAAAGCACAGTTGCAGGAAAATACTGTTAACTTTATAAACAAAGGCCCACCATCTCTTCTTCTTGACATTAGTCTGTAATTAGATCCCAATGACGTTCATTTATACTATGGGTGTATAAAGGAGGCATATTTAGATGTGAATTATTCAGTAGTTTTTTTCTATTTTCTCAGGAAAACTCAACTAATAAAGCCTTTGTTGTTTAAATTTGTCTTTTTCCACGTGTAATTAAAAGCAGAAATGATGTCGAAGTCATAGCCTTCAACAGCTCTCAAACCGGGCATTATCAAGTATTTGCCTGTGCATGTTATAGCACTGTCCACGTGCAAAGGCAAACATTAACATAAAAAATCTACAAAGCACTGGTTACCTCCAAAATGGAAACATCCATAATGTTTGGGAACATCTCGCTCAGCTCTATCTCGAACTCGTCCAGATTACACAGCTGGCTGGAGCCGTGCTCCTGTAGGACAAAAGGTACTGCGTTATTTCATTGTGGTGAGTAAAATTTTATCTGCAAATTTGTGAACTTCTGTATGAGTAAAATAATTGTAGTTGAGTAAATTGTAAATTTGCAAATTTAAGGACACGAGCAGTACCACATTGTATTTAAGTATTTGTAGTTCTCTCTCAATTCTCATACTGGTTCAGACAATGTGCACATTAGAAATTGACGGCGATTAAATGATTGCATTACCATTATAATTATAATACAATGCATTGCCATAGTTAAGCATAAAAACATATAAAACCCCTAACCCTAATGTCTCAAGCTATAAAAGCCCAGTTTCAGCTGAAACATTGTTTACTGGAGATTATTGCTGTAAGAAAATGGCATAATATATGAATAACTACGTTTTCTTCACATTCTTATAATAATAAGGTTTTCAATGTATTTGTAATCCAAACCTTAAGCCGCAGTGCGTGTCCCCGGTACTCAATGAGCTGGTTGTGGGACGAGGTGGAGACCAGCCGGCCCATCTGTAAACACTCCTGAAGGGAGACCAAGCAGCGGAGCGCTTCTGGTTTTTCCCTCAAAAGTGCAGGTGCAGCCGCTGACGCCACTTTACTCAACATCTCACACAGAGTCACCAGCTCAGTTGACACACACTGCGCAGGTATTTAGTCAGAAACAAAGAAAAAACAGAGCTTTTACAACCGCGAGGTGGTCACTTTTTCTTTGTAGACTTTAGATGTTAAAGAGACACCTAATAGAGTCGTTATGCTGGTTGTGCTGGAGAATCGTTGTGGTGCGTCACCTCCTGCTGTAGCAGCCTCAGCTGGGCATCTTCTCCAGGAGTTAACAGGAGGTCAGTCAAAGCGTCCAGACAGAGGAGGAGCTTCCGGGCAGCCGCATACAGCGTGTCATTTGCACCTGGAGAGCTCACCTGGAAAATAGGCAAACATATTGGAATCACTGTCACTATAACACTATTATGATGAAACAAATTAGGTCTTATAAAAGAGGTTTGCACTTATTGGTCAACTACATACATATATGGTATATATAATTAAAGTTAAAGAAGGCAATCACTGCATTGTTTCTTAGAATAAGCCCTTTTGACTTCCAAAACTCAATCTCTGCATCTACGATAAGGTAAACATGCACAAATGTGCCAACATTTAACCTCATCTACAATGGTACGTACTATCTGTCTCATCATGGTGATGGACTCGTGTGCCCGCAGCAGGACAGCAGACGCCGACCCGGGTGATGTCAGCTCCCTCTCGGGGTCCTAAAGAAAACCAGGATTTTTCAGTTTAAGAGGGGGAAAAAAGACAGGATGCATGGAGGTAATGAATGAACAAGATGCGAGGAGTTATAAAACCAAAAAGGACATTCATTTTAAGGTGCAGTTTTAAGCATCAGCACTTCATTCATAACATTTGTATTCAAGTTCACAATCAGCATTTGAGTAAGTTGTTACCTTTTGATGCCCCTCCTTAACTTTCTTCAAAGTGATCAGTTTTTGGAGGATCTGGGTATTAAGTTGAATCCACCTTAGTTCCCCCTCGTTATCTTCCCCCTGTTCAGCCATGCTGGGGAACAAATACACACAGAATGTCTGAGTCACAAGTCTGCTGTGAGAGTTGTAAAACAGCAGTTGGAAGAATGACACTCGTGTACCTGATCGGCTCCTCGGACATCTCCCGGGCTCGAGGAGATTCTTCTCCCCGGACCGTAGACACATCGGGACTGTTCTAGAATCAAGACAGAGTGAGAGAAGACAAATGATTTCTTACTGTTTTTAATGGTGTGCGAACTTTGATGTAACTTTTCGAAATCAGACAGACAGTAGTTCCCATTCAGAGTTTTAATCGGTGTCGACTCATCCACTTGGAAAAGTTGGAAAATGATTGAAATCTCATTTACCAGATGTCGATGCGGACGTGTAGAGAAATACGGATGTTTATCTGCTTCCTCCATGAAGCCATCAAATCCTCTTGTGGCAGTAAATGGAGTTTCAGGTCTCGCAGGAATCAGTCTTGTCTCCTCCACTGCGGCTGCTGCCTGAGGGAACGTTGCATGAGGCTCGGCGACAAGACTTTCACATTTTGGTGATCCATGCGAGTCCAGTTTGGCAGCGCCAGCAGTAAACTTGTCTTCAACTGCCAGACTGGCTGCAGCGATGGGTGGCTCGATTGTCACAGTTTCATGACCGAATGCTTCACCAACCACGGAATCCGTTTTTATTAATCCAGTTGCAACATTTTCGGATTCAGGCTCTGATGTACGAGGACTCCCAGGTAAAAGCCCGGGAACTTTTGGAACACTTTTAGAGCTCGTCTTCACTTCGGAGGTAAACGCTCCAGCCAAACTCTCCAGTGCCTGAATGACAAACAAGTTTGATTAAGATTTTACTGAAGATGAGCGCTCTCTATAATAATCAGTGGATAAAGACAAGGAGTAATCTTTGGATTTTAAAACAAAAGTCTCACCATGATGAATAATCATAACAAACAGTATTTGAAAACGTAGCAATAAAAATCTGATTGAAGATTTTACAAGAAGTGGTCAAAAAGCTCATCAACCTTGAGCCTTAAAAATAAATAACTTACTGTGACGTCTGGCGGTTGCTTTATTTTGGCAATTTCCTCCTTTTGCACATCTGAGGCACTCAGTGTTTCCTCTGGATCCTAAAACATGAACAGTATCAATATACAGATGCAAACGTAATCCACGCGCACACAGACTTGTGTGTGTGTTTGTGTGTGTGAAGGGAAAGGTCTCTGAGGAGCAACATATGTCAAACAGCTGCTTCTGACAGCTTCCGAGGGGATTCACCAGGAGACCGGACCGTCTGCCTGATACAGACTGATAGAATCGCCCACATCACAGGAAAAGAGAGGCAGTGCGAAAGCTGGATTCTGTTCAGTGAATTAAAACGCTAATAAAGAGGGAAATGTGAAAGAAAAAGGAACCGAAGAAATGTGAAGGTCAAAAACACAGAGAATTAGTATTGTGATTAATAATTAAATTCCTGTCCAGGTCTCAATGAAAGGTCTCATGAGACCTAGAGTCAAGGAGGTACCCAGAAATACAAATGATAATTTGATTTACCTCTGGAATACTGCATGTTAGTGTGTCAGAGGACGACGAGTGACAACTGTTGTTTTCATCCTCCTCCTCTTCCTCTGAATTAGACAACTCAAAGGCCTCCTGCTTTTAGTGGTAAAGGTGAGTAATATTATAAAAAAGTATGAGTAAAAATGAAATGGACCAATAAGTTGTCTTTTCATTGATTTCTCCCTCATTTCTTCTCTCACATCAAACCTTTTCTGAATGTAATGTTCAAATGAATATTGTGGGGAAGAAGTGTTGCTCTGCAGGATGCAGACTAGCACGACTCCATTATCTGTCACACACTCATTTTTGATATTCATCTTTTCCTTTCATAAGGGACGTGACAAATCTAATTTAAGTATAATTGTACTGCCTTACCTAAAAAATATTCTTACCTCTGGTGCAATCTATTAATCTAGAATCCATTTATTGTGAGGTGCCTCGCCAAGATGTCTACGATTTAGTATACTTCAGAATACAATGGGACAAGGAGTCGTAGCCCAGTTAGTAAAGATAATACACAGATAATGTGTTGACAGCAGAGGATTCTCGTGAATGGCGTAGAAAATATACAATATGCAGTCTGCGATTCACTGCTCACAGTACGGCCATAATGGTAACCCCCCCCCCAAAAAAACAAAATAATTTAGGAGTTTAGCTGGGCCTGCAGTAAGTACCTCTTGCAGAAACGGTTGCTTTTTTTCCCCAAAACAGTAGTGAAATGCCGCAAATTGTCAACAATAAATGATTAGAGAGCACATGTGTTGTTGGTTAAACTGCAGGACGGCTCCAAAAATGGTATTCAAACAAGTGTTACAGTTTCAGCTGGTGTTGATGATGATTCGTTCTACAGTATTAGTAATAGTGTAATTATTTGTATTTACCTGTACTATGCATTTTTGTGGAGCTCTGTCGAGATGAAATACTTCTTCAGGACTACCAGAGACTGCAATGATGTCAAGATCATTCCATTCTTCTTTCTCTGCCCTAATCTTGTTCTATTTTATAGAAATAAGAAAAAAGAAAGAGAATGTGACACGTGACAAATGTTGATGGAAAAATAGGACCTGCTGAAAAATATTTTTTTTAAATAAAGAGATATTACATTGAGATACACACTTTTGGCTTAATCCCATATTGCTGACATCAGACCTCTTTTCTATGTGCCGTGGCATTTAGACTACACGCAGTACCTGGAGCAGCGCCGCTTGTTGATGGGTGAGTTGTTGCAGCTCGTCCAGCGGCTGCAGGAGCAGTCTGGCTCTAGAGAAAACCAGCAGGCTCTCCTCTGCGCCCTGCGGGAGGTGAAGCTCTCCTTTGCATCGCTCAATCTCCTCCAACGTCCTCTGCATGGACTGCACATTGGCCACAATCACCTTCAAGTTGAAACAGAGCAAACTGTTAACAACATCATTTTTGCGAGATTCCCTCTCTCTAGTGTGATCCAATCATGAACAAATGTAACCAATCATTTTACACAGAAAACTATTTACTTGTAACATAACAACACTTGTAACAATAACGTATATATTGCTACTATATATTGATTTAACATGAATGCAACACATGTATATACTTGAACTTTTCACAGGATGATTAGAGATGACTAGGAATGTAAAATGCAAATGTAAAATCAGTAGTACCCCAGTGTCAATTACTGCTGTATTTCACTATACTACACTTTACTACACTACTATATTTTTTACTATATGCTTCCCTCCTCAATCAGGAGTCCTACATCTAGATTCATGAGACATCTCTTCCCAAAGTTAATCAACATCCTTCCATCCCTTTACATGAAGATCATTTTTTTACCTTGTTTCCATGTTCCATGTGTGTGGTTTAAAATGTAGTTCGAAATAAGTAGTATTACAGGTATTATAAGAAGCACGCAACAAATCACCTGTCGGTTCTGAAGATGCTCCATCAGAGTTATGTGCGTGTCGTCCACGGAGGATAAAATCGCTCTGATCTTCGGGACATTCTGCTCCATGGTCTTCAGCTCTGCTTCTAATGTCTCCACTACCTGAAATAATCCAAACTGTTTCCACCTTTATGAAGCCATCTTCCTATCTCTATTCTTTCTAGTGCGGTTCGAAAGCGTGACCTATACACAGAGGCAGCCGGAGAGTAAGGAGAAAGGCTGGAGTGCAGCAAATAAGGGCAAGCTACAACATTTCTGCTCGCAAGCCTACAGTTTGAGCAAAAGCAAAGCAAATCCATCCGCAAATGGAACCTATTTAGAGTAAGTGCGAGGACAGGGTTTTGAGGTTACCCCAACAGCTGGAAGGATCTGCTCCAGCGGCTGCAGGATCTTGCGTTGCATTTTCTGGACTTGTTGGTCCTTCTGGTTCACCCTCTCCTCGTGGGTGCTGATGTCACACACAGCGGAGATCTCATCCAGGACCGGCCTGAAGGCCTGCAGCGTTTGTCTGATCCTCTCAGAGTCGTCCAGGACCAGCTGTGCCCCAGGATTCAGAATTCAATTCATCATTAAAAGGAAAAGTGTGAAAATGGAGACAAACATTACCAAACAGAACGGATTAGGAAAAGGTAAAGAAAAAAACGCTTTATTTCCCTTCAGTGACCTCTACATAATCAACCAGCACGTTTAGCGCGTCTGCCGCCTGCATTGGTTTCCCTCAATATTAAAAATATTTCTAAAATTGTTGTACGCATCATTCACATAGAAACAGACAAATGGAAAATAGGGGCGGGTTCAAAAGTTGCCCTTTCAATACTTAAATCCATGAAGATCTATTTACTGTTAAAATGAATAACCAAAGCAAGAGGGCCCAATTAATGATGTTTCATTGGATAAAGACATTTTTGAGCTTGCAGAAAAAACCCATCACGGTTTCCTCCGTTATTTTGCTAGTCACTTTGTGTCACCGACCTGCAGGGAGTTTGCATGATTCTGGAGGCCTCTGGCTGTGGGGAAGGAGCACGGGTCACTGAGCCAGGACTGGGCCTCGTCTAACCAGCAGGCGGCGCCATGCATAATATCTTCAAACTCTTGAAGGCAGGCGGGGACCTGAAATAGAAAACATAAGGAAGCAGACTGTCGGTTTGATAAACAGATTTTTAAAAGCTGGGATGCAACGTATTTTCAAGATACAAGAGTCAACATATGCTTCCTGTTCCGTCAACTCTCTGCATTTAATCCATTGCGAACAGAACATTCCTGACCTTGCTGAGAAAGGCGGTGCGTTGTTCGGTCATGTGCGCTGCGTTTTGATACAGCTGCAGCGGTCGGTTGAGTTGGTCCATCAGTAGGTGGGCTTGATCCGGATGCTCCTCCGCAAGATCCTGCACCTCGCTGTCCAGCAGCATCAGGCGGCTGTGCCATGCATCCAGCTCATCCCACACGAGCTGGAGGACCAAAAATGAGAAGCATGTCGGGGCAATGAAGCAACAATGTAATCCTGGATCGCAGACATGGTTAAGCTGTGTTAGACTTTCTACTGAAAAGTCATCTTTTAGACACTAATAACATTTTGTGTAAGTGCTCAATTATATTGCAAGCTTGCTGGACTTTACTTGTTACTTATAGCCTATATACATGCACATGTTAGCTGATGCAGTCAACTTAACAGATTTAAAATGTGAATAAAAGAGATGAGAAAAAACAAACAAAGAAGACTTTGAGAACTAATTTCAATTTACAACTCCTGCAGATCAGCAGGTTTATGGATCATTCACAAACACACACATAGAAGCAAACAGGTCTCACTTTGATCGCATTTTGAGCTTCATTCACGGTTGGACTCCTTTGCTCCAGTAACACTTTTACTATCTCTAGGCCAGAACCCAACTCTGCCACTTGACTATCCAGCCTCCGAAGCAGGTTGCTTTTCTCCACGAGCTGTAGAACGACCACGCGCACATTAAGAAAGACATTGGAGGTTTTAATGGTTGATAGTTGGTGAGACGTTAAGGATGGATCCTCGTTGGCAGTTACCTTCTCCTCTTCTCTTTGTAAAGAACGCTGAGCTTCTTGTAACCGTCTGCTGATACCAGCTGGTATCTCAGCGTACAGGTCCTGTACGCCGTCCATGATGCACTTTAGTTTGTCTTTCTGGGAGGACAAATCCTGTCTGAGCTCCTGTCAGTGTGGAAATATGGAAGATAGAGACTGCAAGCGTCAAATTGTTTAGCTCCAGATGAATTCTTTCCAAATAATAATAATAACTTATTCTCTCAGTAAAGACTGGATGTAAAGACTTGGTGACTATTGACCTGGCCGTCAATTGTAATTTGTCCCTCGCGTTTTCCGACGGCGGCTATAAAAGTCTCAGTAAAGACTGGATGCAAACTTTAGACGATTTAGGGTCTTTCGGCCAAATATTGAAGCTACACGTCGTCTGTAGCTACAACACCGTTGTTCTAAGCAGATCCTGACATTAAAAGAAGCTTATTATTATTGTTATTATTATACCTTAAGACGCTATCTGTTCTAGATGTCACGTTACCTGCCTTCTCACACATTTCCATGCTTGGGCTATTAGAATAAAAAAGGAACTTGACCTGTTGTTTGCACGGATTTGAACAGGCTTCCAGTGAGGGAAGAATGGTTAACATGTTTTGCTCCCACTCTGCGATCTCCACTTGGACTTGCTGCCTCTCCTTGTCCTCTGCCTGAGCTGCAGCTACCACCAGCAGATTCCTCTCCTTCAGGCTACGGAGAACAGCATCACCTCAGCATCTCTGACATTAGTAATCACTGTGCACCAGTTCACCAAACAAACCCCACCTCCTGACTTGATCTTGAAGCTTCACTAGTGTTTTGGCCACCGGTCCAGGGCTGGCGGGCTCCTGGGTACTAGACAAGCCCAGGGCACGCTCCAGTCGATGCTCGAGGGAGGATAAGGCCTGCTGCTCCTGCTCCAGCCAGGCCCTGTGCATCTCAGCCTGCTGCAGAAGCTCCAGCAGTTCCTCTTGACTGAAGCTCACAGCGGAGGAGTCGGGAACCTCGGATTGAAGACGGACCAAAGAGCTGCAACACTGCTCCATCTAAAAAGTATTGAATGTAGTTCTTAATGTAGCTATATATTACTTTTTAGTCTTTTATTGACTGTATATTATGTTACAATAAGTTTAGCCTCAGAAAGCAATAAAAGTCACTTAACAAAGTAAACCTTTGTAAACAGAAAGGCAGTAAAGTATAATTTTTGTACGCATGCACACATTTAGAAGCCAGACAAACAATATGCTGGAAAAAACATCCTATTGACTCTGCATATATTGTTGTATATATACTGTACTAGGTCATGCTAAAATGCAAAAGAATTTGTTTTTTGGTAAAACTCACACTGGTAGTGATGTCCTTCCATTCCTCCCCTCTCTGTTCTGTGTGTGCTATGACGATGCCGACACCACGGCGTAACGATACCCAGCGCCTCCAGAGAGCGCCGAGCTCGCCGTCCTTCCCAACTCCGCAACTCTGCGCTGGACATCCAGCTCGCAGTTCATCAAGTTGACCTGCGAGGCTGAGAAGACCTTCCAGCAGTAGCTTTAAGCAGTGACAAAATGAAGCACAAAATTAAAGTTTGAATCAGGCAGTATTCCCTTTACGTGAACCACGTGTTGGTTAACATCTCAAGCGCACTCATGTGATGCAGTGGTGGAGTCTGTACTACAAAAAGGCAAAAGCAAAACTAAAAGTCCAGCAAATGGAACGTGAAGGAAGAAACAAACTTATCACAATCTATCTTGACATGATGATCAAATCACAATTTAATCAATCCTATATTAACAGAGACGGTTCACTCAAAATCACAAATGTCACAATGGCACCAAAGTCTTCATCTTACTAAGCGACATCTGTATCAAATATCATGGTAATCAAACTCAAAGTTGCAGAGATATTTCACTCTCGCACAAAGGACAGTCCCTTGCCATTGGCAGGGCCACGTCGGTAGCATCACTCAGGCTGACGTTTGTAAATGATTATAATCTGTGTAATACAAGGTTCAACTATATCCAACATGTGTAGACTTTACATTTTGGAGCCGCGCGCTAATCCGTAGAGAAATACTGCTGCATCAAACCCACCGTAGCTCTCTTTTGCTGAGCAATAGACTGGTCAGACGACGTGACTTGCTCCGTCGCGCACTCTGAAAGTTTGATTTCAAACCCTGAAAGACGCTGACGTATGTCTTCGTGCCACTTCCTGTGGCTCTGTTGTCTTACTTCACAACTGGGAGAAACAAGTCTTGTTACGACACAGAGAAATGTCCACGACGAAAGGTATACAGAAGCACTTCAATGGGGTAGTGAGCAGTCAGTACCTCCTCAAGGACTCCATCCTGAGCTGGGCCTGGGCCTCCAATATGGCTCGACCCACCAACAGCTGACTGAGGATGCCAATGTGCAGCTGCTCAGTTTTCGGTCGGGACAGGCAGGTTTGACTGGGCACTAGATCCACAAGGTGGCAGATGTGAGCCTGAAATCCACCTTCAAGAGCTTCTAGAGCCTGCTGAGTCTGTGTTTGTTCCTCAGTGCAGTCCAAGAACCCTCCTGGAGCTGATAAGAAGGTGGCTTCGGCGTTATGGAGGAAGCACATTGCTCCCTGAGCAGCCCAGTGGTAATCTTTCAAGGATTCTCTCGCCTGGCATAAGCTTTCCTGTTGGATACATGTTGTATGATCACGCACAGTTTAGAGAAACAACACAGATTCATCCGAACGTTGAAGCTTACCATTCGTAAATGACAGTCACGCATGGTTGCATCCCTGAGCGAGTACAGTTCCTTGTAGTTCTTCAAGTCCACGTTTTCTTTCCTTCCCAGACCTTCTAACACCCGCATCCCAGACTCCATATGTCTGCAGATAATCAAGTTCCTTGTTAATGCAATATCTATGGCTTTTTCATCTGGAGTTACTGGTTCCAGTCCCTCCATTTCCACTCTTGTTCTTTGGAAGAGCTCTATCAAGGCACGGTGCTCTGAGAAAAAATGCAGGCCTAGTAGAAGCTTGGCTTCTAGGTTTTTGATATCATCTGTGACCGAATCCTCCCAGGAGACTAAAGCTTCCACTGTGCAGTGAATCCTCTCCTTCTCCAGGTGTAGATCAGATGGTTCCAACTCCTGAGCTATGGTCTCCAACTGGTCGGCCACTTCTTGACATTGTGTCTTTACCAAAGGAAGTTCAACCAAGAGTGATTGGCATAGCATGACCCTCTCGCCCACGCTGATGGTTTCGTCTTTGGCGCGTTGGATTTGCTCTTCAACGATGTCCCTAGATTCCACCATCTGTCTTCTCAGGTGCAGATATTTGTCCTGCTCAACGGCATTAATACTAAGTGCTTTGCACTGGTCTTGCAGTTCACCAATGGTGCAAAGCACGGAGCTTCGCCTTGCCTCCTGGAATTGCTTAAGGCCTCGTACTTGACACTGATGTTCCATTAACGTGTGCTTCAAATGTGCAATTGCCGATAGGGTTTCCTGTGTTAAAGGGAACCGTTGCTGCACCAAATCAGTGGAAATCTGCTTCAAGCTAGCCTGGATGGCCGATAACTCCTCACCGGAAGTGGTTAGCTCATGAATCAGCTCCTCCAATTCCCAGCTGAGCGCTTTCTCGTGAGCTAGCAGCCCATGTAGCTCCGTCCAAAGGCCCGACAGTCTGTTGACAAGGTAGCGGCTCTCTCCCGGACTCGAGCACACGGCTATTTCCCTGCAAGCGTCAGCCATTGCATCCACCCGATTTAGTTGAGCCTCAATCTCGACCGCGGCGAGCTGGTGACTTTTTAGCTCGCTCTCCAGCTCTCCGATGTCAGCTTTTGAAACGTTGTCAACAAGAGCACATGGGTCTCTCTGAGCACGCATTTCCGCCAGCCATTCGTCAATGCTGGCAAACTGGCATAACAGTGTCTCCCTCTCCTGCAGGTTGTCCTTCATGGTGTCAAGAACCTGATTCAAGCGGTCAGGGAAGGCTTCATAAAGGTCTTCTATTGTCTTCAATACTTTGTCACTTTGCTCATTTTCCATATCGGAGACTGTCGCAGCTTTCATATTCTCAACTACTGTTTGCATCTTGGAACTTCGAAACCAAATATCTGTCTGAAACTTCTTCATCTGAACAATCTGAACACGAGCCTCCTCCGGGAAAAGAGCTGACTTATTGCTAACAGAGATGTGGTTCTCTGCTTGCTTGGCCCATATGATCAAGTCTTGTAATTGCTTGTTGATCTTAGTTGAAGAAATGCCGCCACAGATGTAATTTGAAGTGTCCAGCTGGCTCTTGGTGACATGAAGCAGGGACCTAAGGTCCTTAAGACTACCACTGAGCTCATCCTTTTCTTTCTGACCCAGAGGGAAATGGATGAGAGCATCTGTCTGGGACTGTAAGTGCATATAGAGCTGGTTGTACAGTTGTACGTCTGTGCTCAGGCAAACAAGTTCTAAAGCACTTTTGCTGTCACGGCTTTTAAAACTGGATGGCCGAAGAGCGTCCAGCTTGGCTTTTAGCTGTTCGGCCTCTCGTATTAACAGAGAGTACTGAGAAGTGGAGCTCGAGGCGTGTTGCAGAGCTCTTTTGATGCTTCCTTCCAAAAGCCTCCATTCCTCCTGGACATCTCCGAGCTGGGCGAGAAGAGCCCCTGAACTCTCAGCGTCGCTCAAGTGGACGGAGAATCGCCTGCTCAACTGGAGGAGCTCTTCCATCGTGTCTTTTTTCTGCACCATGGCTTGAAGCAGGGCCTGGAGTTTGTCAGCTTGGAGAGCGCTGCTTCTCAAAGTACTTCTGAAGAAAGAAGATTTAGAGTATGAGTTCATCAGCTACACAGTCATTGGATTGATGTAAACGAAGACTACCAACCTCACTTATAAGTGAAGGTGTTACTCACAAGCTCATCTTGTCCTTCTCCGCCGCCACAACCTCGAGGAAAGCTCTGGTGATCTTCATCCGTTTGTGGTACTCTTTGACCTGATCCAGCTGTGCTGCTTTGACCTGCACCGTGGCGGAGGCTTCCAGCAGTGCAGCACTCCACTGTCCTTCAGCTCTTTTCAAACCATCTGGATCACAAATCCTAGCACCACTCATGCTTTTCATAGTGGCCACTTGCTCCTGCACACAGCGCCTGCAGTCCTAAGCAGACAGAATGGACGGCAGGTAAAAGGATTTACGGTTTTTGTACTTCTACTTCGTTCAAAGTTTTTAGCTGATTACATTTTTATATTGAAAGAAAAGAAAAGTAATAGGAAGTGTTTACCTTTGCCTCCTGCAGTTGTTTGGCCATTGCGGAGACATCGAGTTGAGCTGGTTGATAACGACATGCAAGAACATTTTGGACAGCTCGTACCAATCGAACCTGTGATTCTCCAGGAAAGTACTTCAGGTGCCAATTAAAATCAATCTGTGGAGTCCGCTATGAAAATAAACACAACCAAGAAAGAAAATTAGCTTAAAACCTTTATACCGATATATGAGAAATATCATAAAAACTAAGTAAAGATGCCGGTTTCAATTTACTACATCACCTTTACCAAAGTTGCGTCAACGTTTTTTTACTCTTTTATTTCAAAATCTTCTTGTTTCCTTTTTCTTTGACTTATAAATCCATCTATCCATCTGCCAACCGCTTATCCTGCACACAGGGTCGCGGGGGTCTGGACTCTATCCCAGCCAACTTTGGGCGATATGACTTATAAATGTCTACATGAAATGATAGAATATCCTACTTGTCACAATAAGTTGACTGAACGTCTGTCAGTGGAAGTCACTGAGAGGGGTGCGCCCCACTAATGAACCTGCAGGAAATCATTACATCTCAAGGGTCCATCCTGTGTAACTTCCTGTCCGCAGCATCAAGGGAACACACACAAACATCAATCACAATGCTGCTGCTCCTATCTGCTCACTGCCAAAAGTAAGTAGAATTGACTTCCTCGCCCTTTTTGGACGATTGACGCTATGGAGTTATGTTTGAAATCATGAAGTACATAAAATACTTAAATGAGGATATTCATGCATTTATCCTTTAAACATACTTTAACAGGGAATTAAAAGAACCAGCGCCAGGAACAGTAAATATCATCATTAAATAACATATTAATCAAAAACAGCTTGCTTGTTATTTAAAGAATACTGCTGCGTGAGCCGCAGGGAGCCGCCCCCTTAACTCCCACATACAAGTTCCCACTTTTATAAATCAGTTTCTAAACCCACAGGAACAAAGCAAGCCGACAGTCAATCCAACAGAGATCCACCCAAACAAAAAAAGTTGATACTCACGTTTATTATCTTACTGCTTTCCACCAAGCTCTGGATCGCAGGCAGAACGCTGTGCATGGTGGAGCGGCGTTCGTGATACTCCGGGGATCCACCTGTCGCCTCCCCAGCGGGCGGATCGGGCGCCGTCCTCTCGGGCTCCATGCTGTCACGGGTCTGACGCTGTGCACACAGGAGACATGGGGTGGTGTCACAGTCATCCCGCATACTCCTGATTATGACACATCTTTTCCTGCTGCACGGCGGTAAAGATCAGCGTGCGAGTCCATGCAGTTAAGGCAGGAATGTGCCTGGGTGAGGAGCAGTCTGCCCTGAGGGAGAATAGACTATTCATTTCTAAAGAGCTTCCTGCCTCGCTTCTCTAAAAAAAAAAAAGTGATCTGTTATAACCTGGTAGACAAGGCAAACACAAAAAACACAACGTTAACTCCTTGGTTACTCCCAACAGGGGAGTTGCCTCGTTGTGAAATATTTCGGCCATGATCAAGGTGTGTCTGCGAGCAGAGCGCAGCTGGAGCGGTAAGAGGGTTTGAACAACAAAAAAAGTGGATTAAACATCTCAATTCAGTTCATAACCACATCACAAAAATCTGTAATTCTGTGTTTTTTGCATTTTCAACTTTTTGTACTTCAATCTCTTACACACGTTTTGACTTGCAGCAGACCCGTAATGAATTTAGTCAGCGGTCGAAGTAGGGCCAGGACATTTACAATATCCAAACATCTTGGTGCATTTTAGGACACTGCTGTTTACAGTGAGACGGGAGTGCTGTAATTACTCACAAAAATGACAAGTTGTTTTAGTGAGGAATTCCTAAATTCCTTTGAGCACTGTGGCTTGTACTCAAACACACTTAATGACAGACTACAAGCAGAGAAATATACTGTGTTACAAGCATCCGAAGCATTTAGTGGTCCCTCTGATGAAAGAAGGCCAATGATAACCAGATTACAAATGAGGCTTTTCCTTCCCTTTCTCAGACAACTATCTTGCACTGCTTTTATTTTGTTACACATATTTTTGCCGCATCATTGTTTTTCTTACATACTATTTCTTATCTTTCATAAGAGCTCCTGCAGACTGTGCAGATGGAGTCTTTCTGAATTGTAGTAATTAACCGTTTTTGGTAGACAGTATATTTGTATAGTTTCTGTTTTCACTTTATATATGCAGTTATTTATTGCATATTGTGTTGCACCATTTGGTTTTGCAATTTGCAATGCATTCTTTTGAATGAACAAGTCAATATGCAGACTTAATTTATCTGTTCCAAGAAAGATGTTTCTTTCCAGTGGGTGAATGACGGGAAAAGGATGATTGGCAGAACTGTATGAAGTACCACATTCAAATGGAATAAATAAGAATAAAAGCTACGTTTTAGATGCATTTAGGACTGAATTTAGAATACTATTAAACACTTAAAAGACAACAATAAACTTCAACTGAACCGCCCCTTTTCTGACATGAAGGGAAGACGAGGAAAGAAAAGTGGTTTGTAAATGTCACAGAAGACCATATTTGCTATGTGAAATTTTGGAGCAAACACATTGGATTTATCATCGGGGCCTTCTGCCAACCGGGCTGACAAACATGGAGAGCAGCCACCAATTACAGTATATCAAGCTCGATAATGCTCATCTTTCAATGAATTAAAATGTAATCCTAGCTACATTTTTTATTGAATGTGTTTTTTGTGATCTGCTGCACAATATGACGTCTTCTGGGCCTTAAACATAAGTGGGTAAAAAACAGTGGAGGAAAAAATAAGCTCTATATAGAAAAGATTTGTAGAGTCTGGTGTTTTTAAATTTGACATCCACCCTCATCTTATTCACCTGTCTGTCCTCCAGCGATGTAGACATCTCCCTCTCACTTCCTCCAAGTGGCAGCGTGGCTTTGACTCTTTTTGGCCCTTTGGAAAGTTGGGACTGCAGGCTTTCAGGTGAACCTCCCTCTGCCCTCACCAGCTGTCCTGTACTTGCAGCGAGCTGTTTATTGTCACCAGCGGGTCTCTGCGTTGCGTTCCAAGCGTCTGCCTCCCCGGTGCACGACACGAAGCTCATCGTTTGCTCTTCAGCGTGACAGAAATGTGTCGTCTCCTCCCGCCGGACATCCAGAGACGTCGTTTCAGCTGCATGCGCACAAGTGAGCTGACATTTAGCATCAGTGCCAAAGGAGTTAGAGGAATTGAAAACCTCGCTGTGCATTGATGCTTGGCTTTCGGACGTTGCTCGGCACAACAATGTGGCATTTGTAGGATTTATATCCTCAAACTCTGAAGCTGCAAGTGCCAAAGGGTTTCTTGGCAGTGAGTTGGCCACTGGAGACTCATTTAATGCAGCGTTCGTTGTGTAATGGATCACCAAGTCTGTTTCATCTGATTCAGGACCCGGTAATGTTGTAAAGCCTTCAGATTTCTTCTCAGGAACACTGGACGATTTTGTGAGCTGTGCATCACAAACCTTGGCCCTCTGTGAAGATGTAAGTACACCTGGACTGCAGGCTCCAACAATGTCCTGAAGCTGCAACTGAGGCCTCTCTAAGTATAAGACTATTGTCAACACTTTATGTGGCGTCACACAGGCGTCCTCGCAGTGCTTGTCCTGTTCTTGAGCATCAGGAACTGTTTCAAATGTCTCTTGTTGGGCCGATAGACGTTGAGACGCGATTTCAGTTGTGGTCTCTTGCAGAGCTACTGAACCCGTTTTGAGAGTAGGAAGCGAGTCTGACATTAAAGTGTTATGTCCAGGAAGTTCCCTAAGCCCTCTGCGTAAAGGGTTGCCATCAGTATCCATGGTGCGAGTATCATCATTAGGCACAAAAAAGTTCTTCACGTTTATTTTTGGCAGAGCAGTTGTTAACTTTTGTTCTTTGGTTGTTTCCATAGTTTCGTTGGTTGTATATTTGTTGTCCTTCTGATCCCTTTCAGAGGAGCGAGAGGACACAAGGGCCGTGGTTGTCTCCGATATCTCTGTTAATTTTTCGGTGAGAATTTCACAAAGACCTTGTTGAAGACATAACCCCTCATCAAGTGATGCCTGTGAGAGCACAGACACATAAATATTACCTACCAGAAAAATAGCCTTTGACAGATAATCTATATTTCCGACAATGACATTATTTGTCCTTTAGGAGACGGACAAGCGCTGTTTTGTGGGGTTGAACGTCTCGTGGGGCTTTTATCGTCCAGTAAAGGTTCGGAATAAGCAAGATTTGATCTTATTGACATGTACTTCTTTGTGTTGCTTAAGTTCATTGCAAATAACATAAGTGAGGATTAATGAGAAAGGCAAAGAGGAACGGGAATGCTCATGTTTCTTTTGATAAATAGATCGAGCGATTGGTGTGTGTTACCTGGCTGGGGGACGATAGGTCAGCTTGTACCGTTTGTCTCCAAGGCTGCCGCTGGTTGATGTCCTCACTCCCTACGTCTGCTTTGTGTTCTGCACACGCCTGCTTCTTTTTTGGATGTATGGACGAGAGTCTACAGAGAGAACATGAGACAGAGAGAGAGAAAAATAAAAAGAGAGCATCACACTTTTCTAAATAACTACAAGGAACATCAACTTCTAACTAATTAATCCCAGAGCAGAGGACTCCCTTCTTATTGAGGCATAACATTAATTGATTTTGAAATGAGGAATGACGTTAGATACCTGTCAAGGTCTTCAGCAACTGCGGAAACAGTGACGTCCGCAGGTGGAATCTCACGTGCGCTGCCGGACTCTCCGGCCTGCTGCAGGTCGCAAACTCTCGCACCCAACTCTGTCCGCCTGGTATCACAGTCCTAAAAGACAGAAATGGTTTTGTGACGCCAAGTTATCCCTCAATGAACAACATCTCATAGGATCTTTTAACAAACCTGTAATGAATCCCACTGCTGTTGGAGCTGTGTGAGATCAGGAGACACAGAGTTCCCACACGGATTCTCAGACATTTCTTTCAGATCTGTCTGCAGACAGGTGACCTCTCCCTCCTCTCGTTGAACTCTCTGCTTGTTCTTGTCTGTGAGCGGTGAGCGACCTCCTCTGATGCTGCTGTCTAGTGCCCTCTTGTGGTTTTGGGGGGAGCCGACTGGCTCGGAGAGGCTGTCCTGGTCCTTGGCTGAGGAACTGTTCTTGAGTGTTATAATTTGTAAAAGCTCTTTTTCTATGCCGGTAACTTCCCGTAGCAAAGCCTGGAAAGTGTTGAGAGGGGCCGATGAAAATTAATAGTATGTTGGGAACATCTCTGTCCTCAGACATTTGAATGCAGAACAAATGCGACATTTATTTTTCATTCATTGGGTCAGGACCATACCTGCAGAGCTGGTGCATCTGTGATGGGCTTAGCTGAGCTTTCTTTCTGGGATCGACAGGCTGACATCTTTTCCTGCAGGGATGTCAATTTGTGGCGGCAGGCCTGCAGTGACTTGCCAAAATGTTCCTCATTACAAACACCTTGCTGCAGGCTGGAACACACACCCTGTGGACCAAGCCACAGTCAGAGGGCTCATATTATTTCACAGATTTGATGTGATAATATGAATCCGACGGTTCTGTCATCCTATTCAACTTTAAATGTGATTTGTTTATTTGTTCATGTGTTTAAACTCAAGTGTGTATTGGTTGAACTCTTTATAAATTCATTTTAGCATATTATTTGACCAGTTTGATCTTAACTTGAAAACTTTCTAAATTGATTTCCAAATGACTCGTCTGACTAAATGCAAGTACTATGCACCGTACCAGTCGACCAACTATTGAAGATAGAAGGTTTACGAGTATAACTGGACATATTAGAGTTCTATAGCTAATCCTCGACTAGTTGTTTCAGTCATGTCACTTTTTCTGGCTACTTTGAGGTCTGGGCTTTAACTGAGTTAGCCGGGGAATTTTCACGATGAGATGACGTAGATCAGACTTTTTGGTTCCCCGAAGCAGGTTTGTTGAAATCACTATAGCAACACATTGAAAAACTTGAACCTGCTCCGGCACAGGTTCATATGAGCCGCTGGATTAGTTACTACTCGCCCAGAAAAAAAGGGCAGCTCACTTCCTCATTGATGAAGGAGCACTTTCAGTTAGATTAACGTTTTATAGGGAGAGACTTCTCCGAGATCACAAAGACCTGTTTAGCCGCAATGACGGCCTGTACGAGCGCTACAGATGCTGAGGACAAGGAATGATTTATTTATAAGATTTCCCCGAGCCGAAATGTCACGTGATGAACACCACACGCTGCAGCCGAGCTGACTTACTGTACGTGAACATGAATAGTTTTACCTTCAGCTCATCCATCAGTGACGAACAGCGGGTCTCCAGCTCAGCCATGAACGGATCTTTCTCGCTGGTTTGTTCAGCCGGGCGGGTAAATGTTAACTGCAAGGATTCAGCCTCATCCTGCCCGTGACTGCCTAGACAGCAGACTTGTTTGCGCTCCGACAAGCCGGACCCGGGGAATAAAGTAGGGAGCTGAGCAGTTCTGGTGAGGTCTGGATCAACTTGTAGAACGCTGAAGAAAAAAACGAAAGGGTATAACTGACAATACCAAAAACAGCATCATGTACCAAAGGCTGAAAACCCAAAAGGGCGATGGATAATAAATAGATTTGTGGCAACCTGCGTCAACAGGTCAGGTGGCGAAAGTAATTAGTCATACAGTATGTGATAAGACCTGTGCATAACTCTGCCCTGTATGGAAAAGGTATCTCGGAGTTCAGCCAATCAACACTTGGAGAGAGTTTAAATGTGCAACGGCAAGAGACTGAAAGTGTCTAGGTAGAAGCACCATTCTCAGCACGGAAGAAGTGGAACCCAGGGGAGGCAATTTTACAGGCTCAAACAGCACTTAGACATAGGGGTTTTTGTAAGGCAGCTACAGCATGGGTGTCAGGAGTTTGGATTAATTTAAGTTACAATACCACCGCCTATGTATTTGGAACAAAGCATCGGCGTCTGACAGGAGGAAACTGGTAGAAGAAGAATTTCAGAGGCAAGAAGAGGCTGTTAGATGAGCAGAAACTGTCTCTCAGGCAAAGCAGAACTAATGGATGAGTTGGGAAAGTGTAGAAAAGAACAAACTCAGCTGAAGGGATGTGTGCAATATGTGTTTTCATTTCCCTCAAAAATACAAGAAGATGGATGGGCGAGGACTCAACAAAGTCAACTCCAGCACAATGTGTCAGGGAGAACAAGCCTCAAAAGGGTTTGTCTGGCTCCACTCACTTGTGACAAGACTGGCCCGGCTGGAGAAAGTCCGTCCGCGGCGCCTCGCTCTTCTGCATGCTTCCCTGAAGGCTTCCTTGAAAGTCCTGTTTCAGGCCAGTTCCATCACTCAGAGGATTTCCAGGAACTCCGAGGTCTTCGAGGTGAGACTTCCCCTCTGCCATCTCAATAACCGCAGCCTGAAACAGTTTCTTTATTTTATTAGATTGATTAGGTACTTAATACTTAACCGGTGCAATCGCACCGGTCGCTGCAGGGACTGAAGACCATTTCGTTGTAGGAGTTTCATCTGTGCTTACAAATATGCCGGTCCCAAAGGTATTTCTGCAACAATGGACACGCCCTCATTATACAAGAAGAAGCAGATGTATATGTGAAAGAAATAAGAGATCACAGTGGCCGCACCCTTGTATGACATAACAAAAACTACTGTAAAGTTTGTCCCTTTCAAACTATACAAAAAAACCTGTTTTGTTTTAAATACACACACAAGGGTTTTTGGTTGAGAAACTGAGCAGCTGAGTCAGGGTGATGTTTTCTTACTTGAGCGGAGCGAACAAGGTTTTCCCCGAGAGGAGAGTCGGGAGTTTGTCTGTGATGTCCAACCGGGGATTGAGTGGACTTTGAAAGGGTTTGACACGCCTCGACGTCCCGGCTCACGGAGCTCTGCTTCTCCGCGCTCAGCACTCTGGTTTTAAAGTTGTGGTGTTGTTTCAACAGCTCGCTGCTCTCCTCCAGCAGAGCGGACTGCCTGCATGTGCTGCTCTGTAAGGTGAGCTGATCCAGGGCTGCTGTTCTCACACTGCAGAGAGAAAACATCGATGCCCGCTTGTATTAGTTGATAGGAAAAAAGTTTGTATTACAACAGCGTTCTAAGGATGAGGGAGTCTGCAACCGCACACTACGAGTAAACACTTACAGGAACTTCAAAAACGTTTCAAATTACTGGATCCTCCCGCATTAAGGGAATAAAAGGTGGGATAGACTATATGTTGCGTCAATAATTACACATGTGTACTACGGACGAACAGGCTTCACAACATTGAACTACTGCAGACTGGTTAAGTGTGTTAAATGACGTTATAGTTCCACAACCTTCAAGACCGTTGCATCTAAATCCCGTCCTTTTCATATTTGATCTTTGAAAGATGATACTATTACAATATCAACTGAAGTAAAATACAAACTGAATATATTCAGGTTTATATCTGAATTCCTAAAACAGGCTACCTTTGTTTGAGTGGCTCCTCTTGCAGGAGACCTGCAAGATCCTCGTCTTTCGCAGCTTTTCCCTCAACACTTTGCAACCATTGTTCCAAGTGCTCACCTTCGCTTTGGAGCCTAAAGAACACACACAGTATAAATGCATGATGCATGACACAGACTCATATGTACAACGTGCACATTGCAGGGCAACAGAAAGTGACATGGTGAAAAAACGACTACAGAATCAGAGTAAAAGTACAATACGATTCATCCTGCAAACTTCAGTTACACTACCGTCCTCAGGCGGAATCTATACGATGACACTTTAAATAGAGAGGGAATCCACAACTTTCAGGGAGGTTCTTAGAGAACAACCTACTGCTCATTGACTATAAAACCAAAGAGCTCATTGTGGATTTTAGAAAAAAAAACACAGATCAACGTATAGTTTTGTTTTTCTGCGTGGACCTGTTGCACGACTATTAGCAAAAAAAAAGAGGAAGCATCTAAAGAAGCTTACTCTTATTGTGCAGTCCAAAATGTTTGTATGCATGCTACATGGTCTAAGAAGGGACATTCACTAACATTACTGCACACATCACTGCTGAATTGACACTTGTCACCTGTCGAGAGCCCGGATGTTCCTCTCAGTCTGTTCTTCCACCTCAGAGAACAGCTGGTGGGTGTTTCTGACTTCATCCTGCAGCCGAGTCCCATCCACAGATGAACTGTGTAGGCTGCCTGGACCGGCTGTAGAGGCCATTACACGCAGATCCTGCAGCAGACTCTCTGCCTGCTCGTCCCGTGTCTGGAGCTCAAAAAGCAGACCCTTTAGAAAAACATAAGTGACATTTAAGGGTTAAGCATTCAAAAGCTTCAGCAGTCAAGTTCTCCTCAAACGGTGTTTGGAATTTTAAAATCATATCAGTTATGGCTTCTATTGGATTATTTTGATAGTGCAGCAAAGTGTTTAGTACATGTCTGCATACAAAACACATTAAATAGATTTTACCTTAAGTTTTGCCAGAACTGTTGGAACATCTGAAGCACTGAGAGTGAGAAGGGAGTCCTGAATCTTCTGGAGGGAGTTGAAGCATTCAGCCATCCGGGCAGTAATTTGTTCTTCAGCAGCCTCCTTCTGCCTGTAAACATCCTCAGCTTCAGAAACGAGCTCCTTCAGCTGCTTCATCTTCTTCCTTATCTGGGTCTCCACAACCTAGACAAAAGAAAAGCAATCAATCATGAGAACCCTCAGATCCACTGGATCCGTCAGCCTGAAAACTTGTATCCTAAACTGGAAAGCTTCACGTTGTACCTGCAGCTCCAGAGGGGGCTCTCTGCTTTGAAGCAGGGCCTGAATCTCAGCGACTCTTCGGTGGAAACGCTCCATGTTCTCTTCCCGGGTTACAATCTCACTCTGGAGGCACGTGGAGGAAGATGATTATGGCGGATGATCTTTGTCGAAAGCCACTTCAGACGGAGCAGACGGATCCAAACCTGTGTGTCATTACGGAATGAAAGAGGAAGGTAGTTTTACCTGCAAGGCTCTGATGTCTTCCTCCGTCTGGAAGGACGGACACTGAGCAACTACTAGTTTGTTGGAGGTCCAGCTCTGTACAGCAGCTCCCAGCTGGATGACGCCATCCCACAGAGTCAGGCCACGGTGTAGGTTTTCTAGATAGGAATCTGTTTTTTCTGATACCTGCAAGAATTAGAGTTGCAATGAATGCTGCCACTCACCTGAGCACATACAACTAAACTCAAAATAGAAACTATAAAAATAGGAATTTTTAATGACAATAATTTTCTACAGAATTATTCAGTTTAAATATGTAAGCAGCTGCACAAGAAACAAAAGGGTAAATACTGTCAAAACACACTCTTTAATAGGAGTATGTAGTACCCGGCATAAACTGCAAGAAAAGCAGGAAGCTCTTTTGAAACTGAATTACAATGAGAGGTTTGACAAAAATATTTTTTCCCCAATAGATATTTTTTGTTTCATACACAACAGCAAAGTGCATTTTAACTTACCTCACATAGTTACTGAGAAAATAATTCACATTCACAAAAAGGCCCAAATACATCTGATACTAAAAGAAAAAATGGAAATCTTGTATTGTCTGATTGTAAAAGCACTGACATAGGAACCAATAGTAGTAAGTAGTAAACACTAACAAAAAGTTTTGTGAAAAACGAAAGTTTTTTGAAAGTTTAAAGTGACTCACGTCCAGCCAGCGGTCCATCACAGCCTCCGTTTCGTCCTCAAATGGGATGCTGAGGCATCCTGGAAGCTGACGCAGATGAGTATGAAGCTGCCTGCAGACACTGCGGACCTCCTCTATGCCGTCAGCGAGACCACTCAGCTCTGATTTTGTTTCCTGGACCTGTGAAACCACACACACACGCGCGCGCAAATGATTTAATCCACATTGACTGGCCTTCATTGGTCAGTTTAATAACACAATCTCTTTCTTAATCACCTGATTAAACAGTGTTGAAGCCTGTACCTTGGTGTGCAATCTCTGCAGGTTGTCTTTCCCCATGTAGGAGGCTTGTTCACGGACGGTACTTTCTGCCCTCTGCAGTGTCCCACTCAGCTCCCCGCGGATGCTTTGAAACCTCTTCAGCAGCTCTGTTAGTGCGTCACACTGCTCCAGCCTGCAAGTGATCCACGCACGCACATGCACCAAACTCAATAAAACACTCAAATCGTAGTAAATCATGAAGGTTCTCAAACTGCTCTCTTTACCGATCAGTTACAGCTTTTGTGGCCTCCTCCCAGGCATCTTCCAGCTCCCTGGGTGGACTCACATTCTGGTTTTCTGATTGTGAGGCTGTGTCTTGTGCGTGCTGCAGCTCAGTGAGTCGACTGTGTAGCTCTGCCAATGCACGTGTCCTGCAGGAGAGAAAAACAATCATTGATATATTTGTGTTTTAGTTTAGATTGTGATTGCTTTTGCATACCAGCGGGTATGATCACGGGTTGATGCGGTGAACTGAAGTTTGTTGAAAACACATATTTTGGGTGTAGGTAAGTGTTGTACCTGTGCTGCAGAGCCGGCAGGGTGGGCTCCTGCAACCTCAGCTGCTCGGCTGCTTCTCTTATCGCCTTCAGAGTGCCGGACAAGGCGACTCTCCTCTGGACAGAACTCTCTGTCTCTTCTCCCTCTTTCTTAACTTGGATGCTTCTTCCTCTACGTTCCTCGCCTGTTAAATCATTCTCGTCCAGCTTCCGTGTTTGAGCTTCGTGCTCTGCGTGCCTTTGTGAAATTCTATCATCATCTCTTTCAGGTTTACTCCTTTTGGCCACCAACCCTCCCTCCTCTTCCATGGGATTGAATGCCTGTATTTTCTCCCTGCCCGCAGTGTAGAAGTCATCTTTTCTCTCCCTCTTGTTGCCTCTCCCCACTTCTTCCTCCACGTTCACAGCTTGTTGTGACAATGATGTCAACACGTCCCAGCAGGTCACTCTCGCACCGTCCATGGTCAGAGTCATCCCCGCTGCCTTTAAAGAGCTGTCCACACTATCTACGGTCAGCAGCTTCCGCTGCATTGTTGCCTGCCACGAGTCTGTCTCTTGCTCCCACTCGGCCTCGAGGGGCTGTCTGCCGGGGGGCTGGTTTGCCACCAGGGTTGGGATCTCAGCCTTCACTTCCCTCACTGTGGCCATGAAGTGATCAAGAGCCTGGGCAGCTGTTAGAACTTCCTCCAAACGCTGTATGAGCAGCTGAAGATGATGGACTCTGGCTTTGTGGAGAGCCTGGCAGCGGGATGGGGGGGACTGCATTCCCTCTTCAGAGGCACGTTCGGATAACCTTCTCATTTCAGACCGCAGTGCGTCGTTCATCTCCTGAGTAATTAAAGAGGGATTGAGTTGATTTTTTAATATTCCGCGCGCTAAATTCAAGTGAACATTATTTTGATAAACACATAGATGCACCTTTAAATCAGATACCAATCTGGGATCTGCCAGGGTGAAGGAGGAGACGTCCACAGACTCTCTGATAAGCCGGTCCAGTCTTTCTGTGACTAGTGCCATCAGGTCAGCAGTGATCTCCAGGGATGTCACTCTGACACAAATAAATGTTAGAAAAAGACAAGTGGTTAATGAATACGTCAGGTCCTCTATTCTCTATTCCACCTGTTGAATGTCCTCAAGACAACACAAACTTAAGAACTGAGAAATGAACTCACACCTTCTCAGTACATCCTGTCCGGAGGTTTGCTCTTCCTGTGCGAGGGCGGCTGACCCTGGAAGGACGGTCCATTCTGCCTCCTGCTTGGTCTCCACAGCGTTACCCCTGACGACCACCTGGGAGATGGCCGAGTTGCATACAAACAGTCCAGTGAAGGCAGGAGGAGGAGACGGAACAGCGAGCAAAGCTATCCCATTACTGAGGATTAGTGGCCTGCAGTGCGTCGCACAGATCAGCCACAGCCAATGATACGGGGAGATTTAAGGAAATGCAGCTTCAAATTCAACGGACAGAGTAAATGCAATTCATTTATGGTAATTAACGTCCAGTTAAATCTTCCAGGTACTATTAACTTTTAGAGTTCAGCAAAACCTCCTAACAAATTCAAATAAATTTCTTTTAAAGTTCTGGTATTCTAGATATGAACCAAAGCAAAAGATGAAAAGTAGAAAAGTAATACTCATTCATTTGACATAAGACATAATGATCCCTTCCAATTATCACTTTTGTGGTGGTCAGGCTACAAATCATAAGTGCGCTTCCACAAGGGACACAATAAAAATGGTGCACCAAGCACGTTAAACACCTTTGATGTCATTGAACGAGGAGGCACCAAGTTTGAATGAAGGATTTGCAAACTGCAACCAGCAAATCCTACTCTGCCTGTATCTCTTCTATAATTATTTTACATTCTTCAGCCTCAGCATCCCGAACAAGTCTGTAGAAACATAGAGGTCTAAGACTGCATCGAAGTTATAACTGTGACTGATTCCTATCATATAAAGCCATGAAATGCATCTGAGAGCATTGATAAACTGGTCGCAACGATAAAACAGACACAACAAAGAAGTTATTTATGTTACTGTTACTTCCTTTTGCGCCATGTGCGGGCTTTAAAAAATAATTACAAATTGCAAAAATGCAAATAGTTGATTGTGGGAGTTCACAGAGCGTAGTAAATATAAAGTAAAACGCTGGTGACATCACATGTAACCCCCCCCTCAAACCTGTATGTGAGCTTGGTTTTGCCACAGACAGGCTTCCTGGGGGAAGCTGTTGCTCTGCTGTGTGTCGGCCGACTCGCCAGTCGCTCTCAGCGGGGGGGGTCCCTGTATCTGCCATCCCCTGCTGAGTACAAAAAAAAAAAAAAAAAGGTTTAGCGGGGGGAGGTCGGGACGAGTTAGAAACAATCAGTCCTCCAGGAATCCCAGATTAACGAGGGATTACAGAGTTACCATTGTTAATACATAAAATGACTGTGTCAATTGAACAATGCAGTTCAATTAAATTCACAATGTACAAACTGAATGTTCATTTAAGTGTACCTGTTAAAGCATTCAAAGTCTTTTCAGCTTAGCCAAATAAAATAAAAGTTTCTTAAACTAAAGCCTGATTTACTTCCAAATGTTCTATGTGCTTCCTACTAATTAGAGGCTTTCCCAAAGTTTTAAGATCTTTTTCTGGCAAAATTAGCTTACATTTGAAAATATGGACATGTATGTATAAATGTACAAAATACCTACAGCATTAGGGATGAGAGCAAATTCAAAGACGTCTTAATGATTATAAGGCCTTCTTTGGTGAGAATTAAGCAGTTAAACTTGCCACGTGCGATCAGTCAGTATGATCTTCTAAAGAGTAAAAAGAGTAAAAAGGTTTGTATAACGTTAAAACCACTATGCCTCATACATTCCACGTGCTACACGTCTCCTTAGCATTGTCTTACCGGGCCGATGGGAGCTCTGTGTCATTGGGATGTGTCTCCTGATCTTCATCTGACTCCTTCAGTTGATCTGTTGCTAGGCAGGAGGATTCCCGTGATGTTAAAGTTGCACAAAGCTCTTCTAGTGATTCAACCTCCACAGATGCAGCTCCCTCCGTGACGGCCTGGAAGGACGGATGTGAACTTTTAAGAAACTAAAATCATGTAGATCGAGCTTTCTAATATTTTCTCTATAATCGATTCAGGTCGGCATCGGGAGGCCAAGCGGATGTTACTGCCATGTTACAGGGTCGTGACAAATACCTGTTGCTGGGGCAAAGAGTCATGGTCAGTCTGCTCATGGGCTTCATGCAGAGCGTTAGTTTGGGTTTCACGCTTCACAACAGAGGATGACTGCTTCCCCTCTCTGATCTTACACCACAAGATAGGAACGAAAGCAGCCATCTCTCTGCCTACTTCCTGAATGCACAAACAAGGCGTGGTTACAATGGTGTGTGTTGTCAACGTCAGTAAACATACACAAACAGTAAACACAAGCGAAAACATTGATCATTTCCATTTAGTTATTCTTCGTTATCCGTCGGATTCCCTGTGAAATCCCGAGAGACTGATAAAATCAGCAGAAACGTAAAAGTTCCTTGTAGCTTAAACCCAACTGGATATTTTAAAGAAATTGTTTTATGAAAACACAGTAATGCTCTTTGAGTCTGATGAGAGGATCAATGCCACTCTCACTTCTAGTGGGTGTATGGTGGACAGTCTACTATGTGCAAAACCCCTTCATACCTCCCACAGTCTTCGGACAGAGTCAGAGAGGAGCATCAAGTCCTGGAGCTGGGGCCCAGTACAAAAGGCGCCCAAACCCTCTACGGCACCAAGGAACTCATCCATGAAAACAGGCTGCAGAATCTTTAAAACTCTCTGCACAGAAAGACATAAAGACCACAAGCTGTGCACAGCGGAAAAACACAAACCTTTGAAGATTTCCAAAGTAAAAGACTTTGAAGTAGCAATGGGTTATTAAATCAAAGTAAATCACTAATTGAATAAATTAATTCAGAGCTAACACTTCTTTCAAAATGTAGGAATAGTGATGTCCATATCCTCCATCATTTACCTGTTTCCTCTTGACCTGTGACTCTGAAACCTCTTTTCCACCGAATAACTTGATGGCTTTCTGGATGCGTCCTTGCAGACGGAATCTGGCCTTCTCCAGTCTGCTCCTCGCCATCGACTGGGCTTTTGAATGAACCTCACCGCGGACCACAACCGGCGGCTTTGGAGATGTTTTAACACTCTGTACACTGTGCAGCTGCCGGATCATTCTTGATTCTGATGTACAAGTTTGTGAGGGAGGGGACCTCTTTTCCTCCTCTGGGACTGGACTTGTCACATGTTTCGACAGAACTGGAGTATTTTGACACTTTAGCCCAAAAGGAGTTTGGATTAAAGCAGGTAGAACTAGATTATGACTCCAACTTGATGCTTGAGTGCGACGTTTGGAAAGTGTCCGAGGCTGGATCACATGCTCAGGTTCAGTTTCTTGTATAGATCGAGTGAGGGGAGAGTGAATATGAAGTATTGGTTCCCTCAATGGACCGGGCAGCATTTGGGTTTCAACACATGGATTCACAGTGGTTGATTCATGCTGGTTTGTAGCCCAACCGTGAAGAGCTATTTGTCTGAGAGTCTGCGATGAAAGCTCAGGTGAAACCAGACTTGGATCCTGGGTGAGCAGAACGTTCCCAATCTGCTCCACCTGTTTGGTTTTGGCCACAACAAAGAGCCCTGCCTCTGGCTGTCTCCGTGTCTGATGGGCTGATTTGACATGTCGCAGAAATCCGAGAGAACCAAACATTTCAAGAATCTCCTAAAAATAAAACGCATACAAAAACATGAGAATAGGAGTAAGTGTTGGAGAACTGGAAAGCTCTCAAACAATGATTTATCTCACCTGGCAGTGGGAGACGGCCTCTGAGATCCGGTCCTGCATGCCACAGGTACTGAGGTGCACCAGCGGAGAGGTTTTCTGCACTCGGGCCACGAGGTCCTGCAGATCCTGTCCCTCGGTTATAACCTGCTTCTCCAGCTGCACACCTCGACAGATCAGCACCTAGAGAAGATTATATGGCCAATATTGCGTTATCCGGAGTGAACCGAACATGTAGGACACATGTCTGCTTTGTATTTGTCCCGGAATCACACCAACGGCACGCTCGAGGGGCCCAATGGCCTCAGCCCAAGTCACTCTTGGTTCCATTTCAGGGTCAGATGTTATGAACTGTGGTGTTGCCCTTTATATATGTTCCCCTGCCCCATGCAGGGACTTACACAAGTTTACGTGCATATCTAGCAACATAGTTAACTGAAATTCCGTGGCAAAATGTGTCAAGCTATTACATTAACATCCATTGACAAGAAATTAGTGGGAAACATGTAAAAGCTGAACAACATCGAACCCACGAGATGATGATGATGATCAAAAAAGACAGATAATTATAATTACAAACCTGTGGCCTATGCCACAGAGTTTGCTAAATATTTGACACCATTTTCTCCTGCTAATTCAACAAACACTGTACTTAAGAGGCATGAATCATTTGTGAAAGTGTGAGAAGTGTTGGTTTGCTGACTTTGGCTGCAGATTCAAATGCAGAGCGTCCACTGTGCCTTTTGTCCCTCGGGTGCTGGTAACGGTCCATAGCCTCCGTGCTCCAGTGGTCCAGCTCAGCCAGACGCCCCTCCAGCCCGGACGCGGCCCGCTGCAGCTCTTCACAGGCACTCTCTGCGTCAGCGAGCACCTGTAATGCAGACACAAGAAATCAGAACTGAACCCCATCCTCAGTTTACCGTACTAGAGAGCAGCAATGCGTAAACTGGATGATACATCCATAAGAGACCTTATTAAAATGTTGTATTTGTAACAAGTCTGTGTATAAGCTTCAAAACTCCCAGGCCTGTTCAAATGTATCAGAGTCAGTCAGAAGGCCTTTGCAGCAGGGCACCTTTGGGAGATGTTGCTGGAGATTCTCTGTGTCGCTTGTTTGAAAGGACTGGGACGGACCGAGGGATGAAAGATCCACCTCAGCCATCTTTTTACTCAGTAGCTGTTGAAAAGCACAAGAAGCAAAAAAATACTTTAGTTACAGCATAAATAAATCCTTCCCGTGTTTGCTGTTGATTGTTATTGGCTAATCAATTGGTACACTATAGATTTTCCAACCTGTAGTTTCTGCCTGTTGGCCTTAAGTGAGACTGAGGACACCTCCAGAGGCATCCTCAGCAGCCTGCTGGCCTCCTGGCTCAGTAAATGCACCATTTTTAGACACCAGGGACCAACACTGGGCTCCGATGATACTGCCTGCACATGGAAAGACATACTGTATTCATGACCAGCAGCATTGGGGAGATACATGTACAGGATGACCATGGTCAATTACAAAGAAGAGGTGATTAAAATCAGTTATATTCTCAGAGAAAAAAATCAATTGAATATGTTACAATTATATACATTTTTCTGGTTTTAGGATTGCCCACATTTAACACATGAACATATTTCCTTTTACTAAATTACTTTAGTAGGGTAATAACAAAGGATTTTGACAGGGTAACACTGATAACAAGCAACCACCATTAATATCTGTTGAATATGTTAGAATTTTGTAACTTCAAAATGGAACTTAAGGCGGGTAACCGGCACTCGTTACACGCGCACACTCACAAACTTTGTCCTCTTGACGTGTTCAGCCCACTTCCTGTTGACCTCGCTGAGTTGCTTGGCCACAGCGAGGCCGGCTGAGGATTCTGTCACTTCAATGAGCGCGTTCCCGGCCTCGTTCAGCCTGGCCTGACACGACGTCCACTCCCTCATGTCCTGCGGGAACCACACCGTACCACACTCACAAACGGCTAACGTGGCCTAGAAACACTGACAGTGAGAGTCAAAAGCAATCGGTTTTTGGGCTCTTGAATGACAGCATTCCGGTCAAGAGGTTACCTGCGTGCCCGCGGGAGGATGCGCGACGTGAGGGAGCGTATTCTGAGCCAACCACGTCTGCAGAGACGCAAGACACTTGTTGTACGTCTCCCAAACACACGCCGCTCTCTCCATCGTCCCCCTCGCAGCCGCCACAGTCCGCGTGACCAGCTCAGCTTGGCTTTCTGATTCCTTCAGCTGGCGGGTAACAAGTTGCGCATCTTCACCTGAGTGGGGACGGAAGAGTGCGTGGAAGGTCAAGTCGCGTCTTTGACCAAAGTCAGATCAATCGTCGACGGCGTTCACTATATGTATCGAAGACGAAACTAGGATTTTATGCTGAGAGCCTTCTTGTCATAGACATCACATACCTAGTGCTGCCTTACTGGTGTAGGTATTCGCCTTCTCCTTCAGGCTTTTGAGAGCGTCCATCAGAATTAAAAGCATGCCATGGCGCTCCACGGTTTCCTGGAAGAAAAAAAAAAAAAAAATCCTTTTTTTATTGTTAGAAAGTACAACTTGTCACCTGACTGCATCTTTAAAGAAAAACAGGTCTGGTTTTACGTCCTTGTCTTTCGGATACGTACATGCCAGTCCTGCAGAAGCAGAAGCACCGTCTCCTGGGATCCGTAGGGAGATTTCCACGTCACCACCTTAGCATTGAGGCGGCCCAGGAGATGCAGCACCGTGTGGCGGGTTTCCTGGTATTCCAACTTGATTCCTTCATACTTGGCTGTGACTCGGATGTTGGTTAAGCTGTTTTCAAATACAGGTGTTAATGTATTATTTTAGAGGAACCAAACTGCAGACCATTTGGATCCGAGGGAATTCAGTAATAACAGAAGTTGACCAATTGTGCCACGCACCTTCTTTTTATCTCATTGAACTTTTCAATGGGCACGACTGTGTTTCCTAAGTCGTCCGTATTGTGGAAGGTAGCAATGATATTGACGAAGTAGCTCATCTCTTTCATTAAAGTCTGAAAAACAAAAATCAAGCTTTATGTCACGAGTGTCAAAATATGGTCATGTCCACAATTGCCCAGTTCTTGCGGGTTGTGAACAGTTTCTGTTCTCCAGCTTTAAAAGTAAAAAATAACCTGTTGTGCGTCTTGTCGGGCTCTCGCTTCTTTAGCAGCATCTGCATGATCTTTGCTTCTTCCTCCTTCTTCTGTGAGCGATGCTTCTGCACGCTGCAGCCACACAACGACTGAGTCCAGAGGAGGAGGAAGGCTGGAGTCAAGGTCTACTTTACATCTCTGCAGCTGAGGAACAAACGCAACCTGGTATAAGGTCCAATGAATGCACTGAAAAGCATTTTTCATTCATCCAGAGAGAAACAAAAGACAGGATTCAGCATGAATTTCCCCACCTCCTTTTCCAGACAATCCCACGCTGTCCTGAGAGCACACTGCTCTCGGCTCAGCTCGGGGCAGCGTCTTATGGCGGCCAGGAGGGTCATCACTGGTCTCCTTTGCTCAGTGAAGCAGCCAGCGAGGCTGTGCAACACCTGACAGAAAAGTCAGAAAACAAACAAGAAAACAAAGTCAAACTTTTGCTGCACAAGAATACAAAATAGTAGACAACAATTTTTTTTTGCTTCTTTCAGCTCTCGTTCTTTGTTCTTACGTGATATTTTTCTGCAAAGCTTGAGTTCTCTGCAGCCGCCCGAGCCTCCGACAGTTCCTGGTAGGCTCGCTGCAGCCAGGAAGTCACTTCTAGTGCTCGCTCAGTGGAAAAGACCTTCATTTACAAAGTGTAAACAGCCAGTCACTACCTTTCTGTGTTTAAGTGTGATAAACTATTTTTGAGCTGCATAGAACTTCTTATCAAGGAACGCAAATGACAGTGCGAGAGAGAGAGAGAGAGCGAGAGAAAAGATCGAAACCAATGTTTACTGAAGGACTTATTTGCTGGGTGTGTAGCTACCTGACGTAACGGTGAAACAGCGATTGCTGGAGTGAAGTGAGTGGGCAAGTTCACAGGGGAGAGAGAAAAGGGCTGGATCTGAGGAAACAGCTACAGCAGCGACGCCAGAAGAGAACAGGGAAAATAAAGAACACCCCTCCGTTTCATGCAAGAGACTGAGGGTTCAAGCTTGAAACAGGGAAGGGAAGCAGCATGAGCCGACGACGAATCAGGCTTTCTGCAGTGAAGCCTTCAGTGACGCGGCCTACCTGCAGATGGTCATTGGGTGCCGGCATGTCGTTCGAGTACTGCAGAAACTGGGCCACATAAGTCATAATGGACTTCTCATCAGGGTCTTTGACATCAACATCTGAGGTACAGGCAAATAAAACAACAGCCTTTATTGATGTTCAGTATGGCAGCAGCTGAACTGTAATTATAAATGAAGTTTTTCACAGGTTTGCTGCTCCAATATGAAAATAACAAATGCTTCTTTGGTGCAGTAATGAGTCAACGCTTATCCCACGAACAGTTACATAATTGAAGATAAAGTACACCTTCAAGTACCTTATTGCTTTTATAATACGGTCACCAGCGAAATTGCCACCAAACGTTGTGTATCGCATTTTAGTAGTCTAGAGAAAAAATACTCCTCTTCCGTAAGTGTAAATATCATCAGGTTCCGCACCAACTCATTCATTCACATCGCTCATGATGTCCACCTTAATTGTCCCATTGCGAAAGCTCGTATTGCCAGAAAACAATCATTTGTGGGGGTTTTCGGCGATTGCCATCGAGCTAAAAGCTTAAATGTCAACGGTCGCGCAACATCTAACCTGTTACGCTCGGGTCAATGTAAACAGGTAGGTGTACATCATCGCCCAATAATGTACCCCCCCCGTGACTCACTTTCAACCAATGACAACGCTGGATGTCATCTACCCGTATTAAAATACTTGGTAAGCCTCACCCTCGGGTTCCAGCAGACGAGGGATGTGGAGCTCCCTCTCGGCGAGGTGAAAAGCCTCTTCCAGGTTCTCCAGGTTGCTTCTTACCTGGACGAGCGACAGATCAGCAAGCTGTGGTCTGAGGGAACCCAGGATGGCCAAGAAGGCCTCTCCACTCCTCCAGCTCGACTTAAAGTTCTTCACACTGACGGAGCAGCCAACCCTACAGGTAAAAATACAAAATACAAAAGCACATGAAAGAAGAGAGGAAAGGAAAGAAGTTGTGCTTGAGATTTGTGCCGTTCAAGGGAACAGGGGGATTTTCAGGTTGACACTGTTTTTTGGGGATTGTTTTTAGAAAATGATTTACATGCTTAATAAAGTTGTGTTTTTTTTTTTGCTCCTGTCGCTTCAACTACCAGGTCTACTTTTATTTGCAGGCAAGTGACTCACAGGTAGACGTGAGTGGGGACACGTGGGCGGTGTATTCTAATATGTCGTGGGACATAAAGAGAGACAAATCTTAATGGCCTGTTGAGTTGCATGTTCACTGATCTCTTATTTTACAGTTTGTATGTGAACAAGCAATGAAATAGTAAGTTGTTCACCTCTAATGACGACCAGAAAGGGTCAAACCAATGAGGGACAACAGCAAACCTGGATACCTACAAGGTAGATAACTCACTTTAGGCATTGGTCCCTGACCCACATGAGCAAGGCCTTCTTGGCAGATAGTCGGAAGCGTCTGTGGAGAGGCGAGGTCCGGCCTGATGGGACCGGGCTGCCAGACCAGGAGTCCAGGGTGGCCAGAGAGTCCAGGGAGGAATGACAAGAGCTGTAGGAGAGAGTGCTGGCCAACTCTTCGATCTAAAACACAGATGGTGAAACAAAACATACATGTGTAAAACCTCCATAAATGTTACAAGTTACAGTATTAAAGATGCATCAAAAATTCTGCTCCTGCTTGCGTTTCTTCTTCCTCTGTTTCCCGTGTTTTTGCCTCCAGTACCTACATGACAGTGGAGGATGACTGTCCATATGAGGCCGAGGATGATGGAGGGTCGTCCATCTATGATATCTGGGATGTTTATGTTCACCAATTTGATCTAGACGAAAACAAGGCACAACTAATTGAATAAAAACACCACTGCAGAAATGGATGCCATGACTTTTCTTGGTGCAAACGTACTGATTTCTTCTTGAGAAAGTTCAGAGCTGTCTCAACGTTGGCCCTCTGCTGGAAAACCCCTCGGCCCCTTTGTCTTTTCTGCAAAGACAAGTTACAAGTCAACTTTAATGTGATATTAATGTTCATTTCAGCACGGTTTTGTTTTTCTACCTCCCAACGACTAGTCTACCTCCGGATCACAGAACTTGTTGTCTGTTGGATTCACAGTGTAGAAACTCACCATGGGCTGACTGCTCATCACCTCCAGCAGGTCCAGCAGCTGCGATCCTTCTCTCAGGTCAGTAAAGAGATCTGACACAAACGAGGGAGGGCATCTCTGTAAGAAAGCATGAGATTAAACTTTAACATAGATAAAATATAAATAAGAAGTGGGCTGTGATCCAGTATTCACCTGCTGCATACACTGGAGTAGGTGTCATTGAGCAGCACTGAGATAACTCGCATGTATGCATAGTCTAAAGATGCACGCTTTGGAAACACAAGGAAGCGTACAGCTTCTCCGAGGCTGCAGATGGAGGCTTTTAAGTACTGGCGGTGAGGTTGAGGGAGAAGACATAAAAGGTCAGAGGAGAACTTGACCCTGGGACCATCCAAAGGTTTCTGGGTCAAAGCTTTCGGGTCAAGTCACAACATTGAGCGTCGTCCTCTGAGGAAGAAGCTCCTGTTGGGTGTTGTCAGTGCACTTAGATTGGTGTAACAGATGGCAGGGAATGAACCAGCGATCTCAGGGCTCCGTAATACAGACGTGCGGTTATGAAGCGGTGTCTGGATTCAAATTACATGATTTATTAATACTTCATCCGAGTCACAACGAACCCTGTCTGAACAACGAGTCAGCAGGTCTACTGCCTGCGTCATATCCTCTACAGCCCAATCACAGCATCACATCATTCTTCACTCTCTCTCTCGCCAGGTAGACTTCTCCAAAATACTTTGTCATATTTAAATTCTCGTCAAAATACGTCAGATTAAAATGCACTGAAAACTCTGCATAAACTCTGGATCAGGCTTTGCTTTCAACATCTCCCAAAATAAAAGCAGGTTTTTGAAAAATATAGAGGAAAACTTAACCCTTAAGGGAAAGTAAAAGGCCAGCAGGTAGACTATTTAAAAGGAACGGGTCATGCTTATTTTCAGGTTAATAGTTGTATTCTGGGTTTCTACTAGAATATAAGTACATGCTTCACCGTTCACAACACATATGTTTCTCACACTGTCTCTTTAAGTGTGTTGGCTCTCAGATACCCTAATGTGCCCGAAGCCCAGTACGTCCCCTTAAAAATATCAAAGGTAAAGCTTTGCAATACACACGTATACCCCTGCAGGCTTGTGTAACATTCTCTCATCACTGCCTTTCTGCATCACTTCTCCAGCCTCTCTCGTACTCAGTGATACACGGCCCCTGGATGACCTCATAAAGAAACCTTTACTTTAGACAGCTTAATGCAAACCTTTGTGTGGGACGTATTTGAAAAAGCACCAGATCTTCATTTAATCAAAAATATCAGATCTTTGATCATATCTATTAAAGTAATGCTTTGAGAGACATGAATTATATTTCAATCACCCACAGGCTTTTATGGAGTTTTCAGTTTTTCTTAAAATTGGTTGTGATCAGTGTCTTGTATTTTTTAGCAAAGGTAAAGAAAATGTATATTAATGTATCCTTTAAGCATCCTACACAAATATATAGTACCATAACTTACCTTAGCCAGTTGAGCATTTATCCAGTTGGTGAATGTTCGTTTCTGAATCTGCTCTTGCTCCACTGTCAAGGAAACAGACCAACAAATAGTGATCTATACACATTCAGAACCACACACGATTACAATTGTTCCTTCCTGCAGACCAGAATGATTAACTGTGGAGGTTTGTTTTTACTTTTCTATCTGTAATAAATAAAAATGTTAGATTCACGAACACACACTTATCCACCCATGAATCCATCTCAGTGAGTGTGAGTCCCAAACAGGAAACTCAGCATTTTTAATCACTCAACTGCACCCACTTCCCCAAGAGTAAGAGGCAGTTATCCTTTTTATCCCTTTTATTTCTAATTATTATCAACTCCTTTGGGTAATCCATCTATAGCACGTCTTCCACGTCTCGTCGGACGGATGGAAGTCACGTTGAAATAGTACCTCGACACATTCCGAAATGTAGCCACCACTTTAGCACATCACGTCACAACCAAAGTACAGCCTGACCTTGGAGCAGCATGTGCACGTTGTCGATGTCCAATGGAATGCCTCCATCGCCTTCCTCCGCTCCGCCAGAAGCCATGAAAGCCTCCAGCAACAGCACCGAACCTCAAGAAGGTCCGGGAGACATGAGATTGTAAAGCGTCCACTCAAGAGAAATCCACAGTGACGAAAAAGGGCGAGGATGCAAAAGCCAATTACCGCAGTGTCAATGTTTCGCCTGGCTGCGTCCACTGGCTGACTAGTCACGTTGAAAACACCTCCACGCCCTTACATTACCACCCAGTCAGATACAAGTATACACATGCAAACACTCAAACAAAGCGCAAAGAGCGCAAAGAGGAGGAATAACTGCTGCATGGAAAGTGCCACCCTGTCATAACGTCGATATACAAAAATAGATGGCCCGCTCACTAATCTTCTGCATACCTGTAGCAGGGCTGTAGTCTCTGGAGATTGATTACAATGTTACAGTGTTCCGTGTGCAATAAATGTCCTCAGTCGTGTCCTTTCATATTGGCACAACTCTGTGCAGATCCACTGTGTTGAGTCGCTTCACCGAGGACTTGACGCTCGGTGCTCATAAATGTCTTATAGTGCCTTTTGCTTTTGGAGTGCGAGGACAAACAACGCAGGAAAGTCCCGCCCACGCCCAGTGCAAGCCAAAAAACCTCCCGCAGGCTGTGCTACAAACTTATTGACAACAAAAGTAATCACATCCTCACAATTCACAGAGAGAGTTGATGAGAGAGCAAATGCTGAGCAAACATACTCGTGTTTCTACTCATATTGGCCTTTTCTTCTATTTTCTTGGGATCAAGTGCAATAATGTAACGGTTGAGAGGGAAATACCTTTGGGTGGATGCGTTTATGTGAAACTGTTTTAAGTGCATTTCTGGGTTCCTGCTGAGTCATGGCTTTGCAATGTGCAAATTTTATTCTGCTTTCACTCTAAGTGTTTTTCTTTCACCAGAAGACACAATGTAACACAAGTCCATCTTTACCCTTGAGAGCATGTGCCGGTGTTTTATTTGTTGTTTCACTATGGTGAGCCCACTGAGCTGGCGGACAGCCTGTGTGCAACGTAGCAGCTGCACCCTCACCTCAAACTTCCACCTCTGTTATGGCAGTGGCACAGGAGCCAACAAGCAGATCAAGACACATGGTTTCATAGTTACACTGGTTACTCTGTCTCTATACTGTGTATAATAACATCAAATTGGAGCTCAAGTAAAACATGCCTATGATAACAGTATGTTAAAATGGGAGGTAGGTTTTCTTATGTTAAGATTTTAGTGTGTTTTTCAGAAGTTAGTTATTGTTGATGTTAAGGCATGAAGTGTGCAACACCTAATACCTAACAAGTTGAAAGAAACTCCTATTGAACAGTTGGTGGACTCTGAGCGCACACTTAATGTCCACAAGAGTTTGAATTATCAGATGGCTGACTTCTAGGGATAACGTCAGATTGTATTTCTAAACAAACTGTTGGCTTTGCTCAGTAATCATCAATATATCTGCAGAATTAAAAATATTAGCTTCAATCTCACAATTCCTAACCATATTATTATTTGTTTTGCAATAGTTGAGTTTTAATAACTATAATTATTATTTTAAGATTACTAATGTATGGTCAAACCCTCAAGGTGAAGCACGTACAGGTCACAGATGAGGTACTCATGTTCCCCCGTTGGGTGGCGCTACACACCACAACACCCATCACATCCTACTCAGTTTAGTAGAGTAGAAGAAGACTTCCCCCCCACGACTTTGACGTTTAGCAGCAGAGCTTCTCCTGACCTTCTCACTGCAGCGTGACAAACTGAAAGGTAAGCGAGCTCTTAATACGCAAATTTAGCAAAGTCACTTGACTAATAACAGGAACGAGTCGTTGCCTTAAACTACAGTAATTTAAACCAAATAGTCTCTACGTGCTTACTGTGGTTGTATGTGTAACTTTTGCAGATGTACCCAGGTATGGCTAGCAAGCTAACGTTAGTTTCTTGCTAGCATTATTTCTGCTAATACAGCGGAGAAGACTTAATACGACAGCCAGGGTGCATTCGTTGATTGGACATTGTTAGCTGGACACGTTGAATGACCGCAGATTGACCACCAGCCATTCATTTTATGTCTGCTTTTAAATAGTATCTTCATTGCTTCGATGCTAACGGTTTAGTGGTGGTGCCGTTAGCACTAGCAACGGAGTTAGCAAAACACGTTACCTTGAGTTACGATAAGTTACTGGAGACCTCAATGACGCTCCTTCCCTTAATCCACACACGGTAAAGAACCGGGGAGGGAAATACATGTATATCTTACATTGCTTATTCTTTCGCCCGGTGTCTCTTTGGTCGGACACCGCTGAGGGTCAGAATATCATCCAAGTTATCTTTATGATTAGCAACCACATTTGTCGAATCAATAAATCAGTTTCTAAAGGCCAAGTCAGTATTGGTGCACCCTGACGTATTCAAGGCATTCTCCCGAAAGAATAAGCTCTAAGGGTGAATTAAAAATCTAAAATTAGTCCTGCAGTTAAGCAACACATCAGCAAGCTGGCGCAGTTAGATGACGCACTTTGGGTGACGAACGGCCGCGTTTCACTGGTGTCTGATGCCGTTGCTGTACCCCGAATACCAGAGTGGTGTTTGCTTCTCCCGCAGATGGCTGGTAGCGCTTTTACCAAGTGGTGGACGCTGGTGCGGCCTTACTACACCAAGGCCTACCAGGAGATGTGGGTGGGCGTTGGCATCATGTCATACCTGTACTACAAAGTATCCTATGGAGGTGGGTCAAAGGCGCAATAGTTGTTGATAAATACAAACTTTATGTGGAGTAATGTCGTTGGTCAAAATAAGGCACCGTTGTTGTCGGCATGAAGTTGGAGGCTGCAGTAGCTTTGGATTGAGAAAGAATAGATTTTGCATTCCTTTTGTCTCGGATTATTATTATTATAACAAATCACCAATAAATATAACATAACAAATATTGTATATGAATTCTGAAGTGAGTAATGGGTCTGTAGGGAACTTGTCTTCCAGTAATGCTGCTAACGTGGGTATACTTTAAATGCCTGTTGTCTCAGTGGTTTATCTTAATGTGAGTGACATTAGATGTTTCTTTCTATTCTAGGCACAAAGGCCGTGAAGGACAGTAAGTAGCAAAACATTGTGTTTATTCATACCATGTAGTTGTGGTAGGGCAATGAATATATATGTATACATCTTCTTCTTCATATATACATGCATACACATACCGCAACACAATATACACTTTTTGCCCATCAATAAGCAGGACTGATGCATGGTAATGCACTTTTAGGCTTGTTTTCATTAATATACGAGCTATTTAATATCCTGTTTACAAAATGTAACATTAAAATGTGTTGCATGGGCTATGTCTTAAGATTCTAGTTATTTTAAAGAAATTTTGCAGTAATAAACTTGGATGCTACAGAAGTTGCACAGCTACATTTCCTCCAGATGTCACCGGTAGACTAACTTCAACTTTTTTGTTGTTGGTGGACAGGCTTCTTTTAAGACATTTGTAATGTTGTTTTTTTTTGCAGAGCCTGCACATTGAGCTTCCCACCACACCTCCACCTGCTATGAAATACGGACCATCCGTTTGTCCCGAAGTCAAGCTTCATATTTGATTTTTCTTTTTTTTGTTGATATGGAACAAATAAAGTTGCTATCTAAAAAAAAAAAAACATTTTCCTTGTTGGCTTTGACGTAGCTAGTTGTGCATTTGTACAGTAATGCCACATGAACTCAAATTGTCTTTGTCTTTTGATTGCACATCCCATGTTGTGTGTGCAACCAAAGGATATTCAATAACTCTGAATCCATTTATATAACCAGTTATTGAAGCTAATTGTTCGGATAATGGGGTCCTTTTTGTTTTCCTGTGTCATATCCTGTTGTGAAAGAATGAGTGAGCCATTAATGGCCCATGAGTCAGTTTGGGATTAGGTTTTAACTAACTGAACGGAAGGAATAAACCACAGAATTGCCGTGTGTGGAGCTCAAATCAATGGCAAATTTTCTCACTTTGTTCAACTTAACTAAGGAGTTGACAAGAGTTCTCCTGTGGGCCAGAAGTTTAGTGCAGAGGTGGATGAACTGATTCCACCTCCAATACATCAATCTGTGCGCTATTGATGGCACTTTTGGGATATGAGCGCTGTGAATACTTCATGATCACCTGCGCAATTGATTTTAAGTAGATGTCTTAATGAAAGTTTGAAATCAATATGTCCATTCTACTGTTATCATGATTCTTCAATTACATCCCCTTCTGCTTTTAATATGAGTAGCCATCATTTTCCCCGCGAGAATCCCGGAACACAGGATGTGTTGTGCCGAAAATATTTTAAAGCCCGCTCAAGCAAATTGAAGCTATACAAATGAGTCTTTTTCTTTAAAATTCTTTAACACCCTTATTTGCATTTAAAATAAACATCAAATCAACCCCCACATTTAATCTAGAAACCATACAACTGTGTCTATTTATGACATCATACTGTAGTAGCAGCAGGATTGCCCTCTTGGGACGGAGATGAATCGATAGCTTTTGACAGAAGGGATGACATACTAGACCGCTGTGTAGGCATTCGTGAATTTGTTCCACCGTAATGCTCCATCATTAAATAAATGTCTGGCCTGTGTGTCTGAGGGAGCTGACAGGGTTACTTCCTGCTTCTTGCGCCGAGTTTATCATCTCACGGTCAAGTGAGAGGTGAGTATGAGTATATGAGTACTGATGTTCTTTAATGCACTGTAACATCCAGTCACTGATGTGAGAAAGTGTTCTTATTGGGTCATTTTTGGTACTGTGTTTTTACATTTTGATGTTGAAGATGACAGTTTGAAAAACCCATCTTCAATTGTGGTGAGTTTTGAGTGGGTCAAAGAGTAATTTGAATGTGTTTAAGGGACCTGAAGAGGTGAATGTATCCTGTTTTTCCCTAGAAAATAGCAAATATGAACCCAAATAGTAATGTTTAATGTATAGATCTTGGTGCAGCAGAATAATGAATGAATAATGAAGAATGTCTTGGAGACATCAAAACTTCTGGCAACTTCCTGATGCTAAACTCAGAAAAAACGGAAGTTATCCTGACAGGCCCAGAGCGCCTCCGAAGCCAGCTGTCACGTGATACAGTTTTTATGGATGGAATTGCTCTGGTACCCAGCAGCACCGTCAGGAATCTGGGATTTCTCTTCGACCAGGATATGACCTTCAACTCGCATATAAAGAAGACTTCAAGGACCGCCTATTTTCATCTACGTAACATATCAAAAATCAGGAACTTCCTGTCTCAAAGTGATGCAGAAAAATTAGTTCATGCGTTTGTCACTTCCAGACTGGACTACTGTAATTCTTTGTTATCGGGCTGCTCTTGTAAATCTCTTAAGCCTCTCCCGTTGATTCAGAATGCTGCAGCACGTGTATTAACAAGAACTAAGAAAAGGGATCATATCACTCCTGTATTAACTTCTCTGCACTGGCTCCCTGTTAAATCAAGAATAGATTTTAAGGTACTTCTCCTCACCTACAAGGCACTTGCTGGTGAGGCACCGTCGTATCTTAAAGAGCTTGTAACACCTTATTGCCCTACAAGGCAGCTGCGCTCCATAGATGCTGGGTTACTTGTTGTTCCTATGGCTTTAAAAAGTAGGCTGGGGGCCAGAGCCTTCAGTTATCAAACTCCTCTTTTGTGGAACCAGGTTCCACTTTCAGTCCGGGGGGCAGATTCGGTCAGCTCTTTTAAAGTAAAACTTAAAACTTTCCTCTTTGGTTCTGCCTATAGTTAGGGCTGGCTCAGGTTAGCCCGGACCAGCCCTTAGTTAAGCTGCTATAGGCTTAGAATGCCGGGGGACTTCTTAGGACACACCGAGCTCAGCTTCGTTCTGGGAGGTTTTTTTTGTGCTTTCTCCCCTAGCAGGTCTCCGTAGATCGTAGTTCCTTCTGGACCCTGGTCCTGACACCGACCGTGGCCCTGCTGACGCCTGCTGCTGCCATCATCATCATTATTATTTTAGATATTAATCATATTACTGTACTCGTAAACCAACATTACCCTCTCCTAAAGTCTCTGTGCTCTCCCTCCCCACAGGCTTCCGTGGATGGTGGTTCTATCTGATGGTGGTTGCCCCTGCAGTGGTCCTGCTGTGCACCTGGCTTACTACTCACAATTACTTGAATCATTTCTGTCATAGGAATTGCATGTATTATACATTGTTCATTCTGTACACATGGCATCCATTGTAGTCTGTCCATCCCGGGAGTGGGATCCCTCCTCTGACGTTCTCACTAAGGTTTCTTCCCTTTTTTCCCTCTTGGAAGGATTTTTTCATTTTTGGGGGAGTTTTTCCTGTGCCGATGGTGGGTTTCGGGACAGAGGATGTTGCATGTCTACAGACTGTAAAGCCCTCTGAGGCAAATTTGTAAATTGCGATCTTGGGCTATACAAAATAAAATGAATTGAATTGAATTGAATAATGTTTTTCTTCTTTCCTGTCCTTGAAAAGGGTTCCCAGGTTGGAAACTCATTTTATTATTATCTAATTTCATTAGATCGATGTTAGGTTTGTGTACAAGTTGTGTAACTATATAAATTACGCAAAAAAAGGTGAATACCGTAACATAGAGGGGGAAGAGTTGCCATAAAATATGACTTGGATTCGCATCTCAGTTGAACATGTTTCCCAAGATCTTAAAATGAGTGCAGGCCATGAGTTGTTGAGAAATCATTCCTTGAAAAGTCCCTGCAGATCACGCTCACCACACACACACACACACACACACACACACACACACACACACACACACACACACACACACACACACACTCACACACACACGCACACGCACACGCACATTTACATAGAGATAGAGATACAGAGGGCGGCTTATCACACAGAGACATCCGGGAAAGATCGAAAGGACGCGTCTTGCTGAATCTACGCATCTCCATTAAAATGACACACGCGAAACTTGGGGCGGCTGTGCGCGTGGGTGCGCGTGAGGGAGTGTGGGGGGGCGCGCGCGCTCACTGGCAGACAGGGAGAAAGAGAGCGCGCTCCCTCCCATCGCTCCTGCTGTCACTGTGCTCCCTCTTTTGCTACATTTCAAACATGGCCAAACTCTTTGCCACCATACCACCACCACCACCACCCTCCTTCACCTCCTCCTCCTCGTCGTCGTCATCCTCACCCTGCTCCTCCTCGTCCTCCTCAGCAGCGGCGTTATCTCCGGTAGCGTGATGCCCCGGGAGGATGGAGCAGCTGTCGGCGAGCCTGTCGGAGATCACTTGGAGCCCGTTGGCGCTGCCGTTGGACGCGGTGGTCAGCAAGTTCCGTCTGCCCACTTTGGTCCGGCTGGCCCACGGTAAGACACGACCCTTCGCCACCACCACCACCACCCACCCATCCCGTCTCCTCTCCTCCCCGCGGGGGCCGCGGAACTCCGGCGCGACCGTTGGAAACTTTTCCTGCCGTTGTCCTGTGGTGATGACGGTTAGCCGGCTAACGTTAGCTCTTTGCGCGCCACCGCGGATCAACCGTTAAGTGGAGCGGTGATGGGATAGAATGAAGAATATGTAAGTTGTCCGGAAAATAGGTCAAATTAAACTTTTTTTTGTGGTGGGGGTTGGTCTTTCGTGTTTTTTTTCTTCTTTTTTTTCGAATAAACGATGTTGGAATTTAACAACAAGTGGGGCAATTTACTGAAAAATGTCGACGGAGTCAAGTTTGATAGGAAATAAATACCACTTCCGGTCAAAACCTAAATATGTAAATATGTTTGTAAGGACAAAAAAAGCTTTTGGAAATGAATTAATACAAAAAAAGATACACACTCAAATAGAAATTTGTTCGGAATTTGATCCAATTAAAAAGTGACAAATAGGTATTTTGAAACGAATGCTTGTAGATGGTGTCTCATTTACTAGGTAGTGTAAACCAACTTTGACATTTTAGATAAATTGATACTGCACCACCCATAATTCATGAAAGATGTCTTTAATAAACTGCACACTGTAATATTGTGACGTGATGATCTTTTCCATGAATGAGCAGAGATTCTGCTGTTATGAGCCAGTAATGGACTTAAGCTATTAATAGGATTAATTCATTAGTTCCTGAGTCAAAGTCAGTGTCATCAAAGATCTGAGTTCAAGATCTTGGATTGATTTAGCTATTTTAGCACCACTTTTTATCTTTGTTGACATGCTCAATAAATGTATGGCTCAGATTTGGTTTGAATTGCTGACAAGGCACATTTTTTATTATTTAATTATTTCCATTATTATTTATTTTATGTGTGGCTGTCTTGAAAGCGGCCCCTGTGTGACTCTCTCAGACACCAACTTTTCTGTTTCACACCAACCCACTGACTCTCCCAGGGGCCTTTTGAACATTACTGTTGAATTCCCCGTCATTTGTGGCATGTTTAGCCCGCGGACACAATCCTCTCCTCTCCACATTCGGTGCCTTTACTCTGGTGAGCAGTCGACGGGTGTCATCATGGCCAAAGTTGTTCCAGTCCAGCGAGGCCTGGAAAGCCACAAAGTGTCTGTTGTGCTGCTGAAGTGCTGCTCAATTCTTTTCATATGTAAATGATGTAATCTGTCGGTGAATGTGGTGAATACCAACAAGTAGCGACGAGGAGGGAAAAAAAAAAAAGGCCTTCGTGGACAATAGCGCC